AGTGGCCCGCCCACTGCCCGCCCCCTGCTCGCTCCCCACCCCCTGCCCGCTCACTCCCCGCCCACTGCCGACACCCCGGCTGCCAACTGCCCGCTCACTGCCCGCCCCCTGCCCATGCCCTGCCCACTGCCCGCTGCCGCACTCCGCCCACTGCCCGTACCCTGTCCGCTCCCCACGCCCTGGCTGCTCACTGCCCACTCTCTCCCTGCAGCCTGCCCGCTGCCCACTGCCCGCTGCCCACTGCATTAAAATGGTCCACTGTCCATGCCCTGCCTGCCCCCTCCCACCCCCTGCTTGCCCACTGCCCGCGCCCTGCCCACATCTGCCTGCCCTGTGCCTGCATCCAGCCTGGCGCCACTGGGGCTTTCCCAGCACCCCCTGCCCTGTCACACCCGTGTGGCTCCAGCCCACGTTCCCCCAGATGTGTGTCCCAGCAAGCCCTCTCCCCCCACCTGCACCCCAGAACTCTGCCAGCCCCTCTGTGGGACAGCCAGCCCCAGTCCCTCAGGCTGTCCCATGGGCAGTGGTGGCCGTGCTGCCTCGCACCTCTCCAGTGGGTGTCATCTGTTTCCTGAGGCCTCTGGCCACCCTGGTGCTTTCCGTGGAGCTCAACTCTGTGAGGTGCCCTGGGGCTTCACCTGCTACCACATGGCACAGCGCAGTGACCCTCTGCCAGTTCTGGGACATCATGCTGAGAGCCCAGCCCTGTGGTGGCACTGACATCCCAGGATCGTGTGCTCCAGCCCTCTCCACCTGCACGGTCACAGCTGCCAGGGGGGAGGCTGGGGCCTGGCACAGTATTGGCAGAGTCCCTGGCTGCCCTGAGCCCACCCCACGGCAGGACTGGCTCAGATGGTGCCAGCTGCTTGGGCACAGATCCTCGTGGCATGGAGGCTCTGCAGCCTCTGGCACAGCCATGTCAGCACCTGGCCACTGCCGCAGAATAAAAACACATTCCCTTGCCTCCAGATGGAATTTCCTGTTTTGTTTTTTTATTAAAATGGTGCCCATTGCCTCCCATGCTGGCAGGCACTGCTGAACAAAGCCTTGCTCCCTTGCTCTCTCACCTCATGCCCTCTTGAAGGGCAGATGGACTGAGATCATCCTCTCCCTCCAGCGATGGCTTGTGCCCAGCCCAGCCCAGCGCTGCCCACTCTGTTCCACCCCGCCAGCCCTGACACCCAGCGTGTCCAGGACTTTCCTCCTCCCTCCTGCCCCGGCTGAGCGGCTCTTACTGCGATAGAGCCACTAAATCCCTGCTCCCGGGATGCCGGGAAGGCAGGAGAAGTCATGCGGCTCGAACCGCCCCAGCCCAGCCGAGAGCTTGTTACACATTTACCCCGCATTAATGAGGCGTCACCGGCTGCTCGGCCTTCGGACTGCGGGGTGCTCCCCCCGGCCCACGGCAGCTATGGGGTACCGCGGTGGGGGTACCCCCAGAACGGGCACCCACATCCCCTTCCTGGCCCTCCGGCCCTGCCGGGCTGGACTTTGCAGGAGCAGATGAGGCACGGGGCCGGTGATGAGTGCCTTCACCCCGGCACTCCTCCAGGGCAGGAACGGGACCGAGCAGGCAGGGACGGGTGCCCGGGGACACCGGGAAGTACCGCGGCTGCGATCGGCATTCCCAGGCTTGCTCGCACCTCTCTTCCCGTTCCCGGGCAGGCAGAGGGGGTGGCAGCACCCCGAAAGCCCTGGGGTCCCGGGGGCTGTTCCGAGCAGGTCCTTGGGTGCAGAGGGAGGACACGCGACACAGTTGCCTTTTGTTGGTGCCGGCCCGGGAGCAGGGAGCGGGGCTTTGCATCCCCTCCCTCCACCCCCGCCGGCGGGACTGGCGCCCAGCACCGGGGATTTGGGGTTTAAAGAGCCGGCGGCAGCCAGAGCCCCAGCTCACCCGCCGGCCGAGGAGGCAGGCGAGCTCCGGCAGAGCCCACGCACTACAGCAGGTGAGACGGTGGGTTTGGGGCGCCGGGCTGGCCCACTGAGGGGGGCTGTGGCGCTGGGGACCTGGGACAATGCAGCAGGGAGGTCCCTGCCTCCCCACAGCGGTACCGGGTGCCAGCGGGCTCGGACGTGGTCCTGAGAGGGCACGTACCACCTCCTTGTTCCTGTCACCCCACAGCTGAGCAGGAACCCCCAGCCCTGTCCCAGCGGGGGTGGCAGGGTGAGCACCCGGGAAGTTTCCCGGGCAGTGCTCCTTCCCTGGGCAGTGCTCCTTCCCTGGGCACTGGTTTATGGCAAGGGGAGCTCACCTGGTGGCCTCCCACCTGCTGCCCCTTCGCAGTCCTCACCGGCTCGGTGAAGGCAGGGTGTGCCCTGGCTGGCACCTGGGTGAGCTCCGGGGCCATCGGCAGAGGGGGTGTCCCGGGCCCGGGGCTGGGCAGAGCGGGAGCCGGGCCACAGACAAGGCCCCATTGTGCCGGGCCGGCCGCTGGCTCGGCCATCAATAGCCCCATTATGCTCGGCGGCGGCCCCCGCAGCCTTCCCAGCCGGCACAGCCCCCCGGGAGCGCCGTGGGAGGCAAGCTGAAGTGGCTGTTGTGTTGGGGGGCCAGGGTGACAGGAGAAGGGTGACAGGAGAGGGCAGGGTGCCGGGACTGCTCCACCGCTGCCTGTCTGGGTGCTGCTGGGTGCCACGGAATGCTGTGCTCCCTGGTGCCACCAGCTTTGGGGGCAAGATGCCCAAAGATGCCCTGCTCCCTATCAGGCAGGTTCCGGGGGCAGCTGGACACCCCTGTCCTCACTTCCCCACCCTCACCATCCCACCAGGCACTGCCTGTGCCCCAGGTGGCCGTGGCTGTACTGCTTTGCCCCGGGGCAGGGACGAGCAAGTGGGCAGTGAGGGGCTGACATCAGCCCCGTGTGGGGATGCAGCCGGGCCGGCAGGAGAAGATGAATGGATCCGCGTGCTTCCCAACGAGACACACCCTGGCTAAAATTACTGACCCCATGGCAGGGACACCAGCCTATTTTTAAAGCCTAAGGAGCTGGATGCTGCTGGTTGGTGTGGCTCAGGGCAGGGCCAGAGGGACATGGGCAGGACAGCAGGCAGGGGGGCTCAGCCAGCATCTCCCACTGCCCTCCTGCTGGGGTGGGGAGAGTGCTCCGATGGTGGCAGAAAGCCTGGGTGTCCAGCTCCTCCCACCCATGGTTTTGAGCAGCTTTGGTGGTTTTCAGTGCAGGGCACACGGCTCCTCTGCCTGTCCCAGAGCCTGGCTGCTGGCAGACATGAAGCCAAGGGCAAACAGTCACTTTGGGTTAGGAGAATAGGATCCTATATGACCAGGACCCCTCCCTTTCCCTTTCCAGAAAGCCACAGTCCTGGAGGATGGACATCTCCTCCTCCATCACCACCCCAAAGGTTCACCATGTACCCTGTGGCCTGGTCCCACAGAAGGGACACACGATGGCAGCACCCCACAGGTGCTCAGGCACAAGGGCACCCCCATTCCCTGGGCAGCCCAGATCAGTCCAGCACAGGGCTGGGACAATTAAGAAGGGATTAGCTGGGCTACACCAGCATGGCACTGCCGGGAGCCGGTACCTAATCCCAGCAGGAATGCACTGGGGCCACTGGGCTCCCTGATGCTGGGGTCTCACCAGCATGTCGTGATGGGGGTGGACATAAGGTCAGGGTGTATCCACAGACAGGGTGTGAGCCCTGGGACACTGCCTCCATGCCGTGCTGCAAGGATGCAGCTGTCTCAGGCACGTTTGCTTGCTGCCAGCCAAGCCCTCCCCCTGCCCCCCGATGAGATGGGATGCCATGAGCTCTGTCCCCTGCCTAGCACATCCTTCCCCTGTGCCAGGAATGTGGCAGCCACACAAGGCCCGATGCCATCTCATGGCCCAACGTTATGGATGTGGACCACCACAGATGGACTCCCAAAGAAGTCCTAAAGCCACATCTTTAGTGCCATCACAAACCACCAGCTGTTTTTTGGGGTGTCTAGACCTAGGGGAGACTAGTTTGAGTGTATCCCTGTGCCTGGGTCATGGGTGTAGGCTGGGGTGAGAATGCCACACTCCTCCCCTGCTGATAAGCTGGCAGTGTCACTGGCAGTGCTGGCAAAGGCCACCCTGCTGCACAAACACATCTCTTGGCTGGGGAGCAGTGCCGTGCCAAGCCCGTGTGTCACAGGGATGCCTTTGGCACAGCTGTCATGACACAGCTCACCTTGACCCTTGGATTTTCCAAGTCCTCAGCCATGATGGCTCCACCAGGGCAGAGGGAAGCTCTCTAGGCCTCAGGGACATGGGGGAACACCCTGTAGCTCCCTTGGGGGAGTCACCCCGCAGAATCATGAGGGTTCTTGTGGTGAGGTGCCATTCCCATTTGGGATGCAGCATTCGTCCCCATCCTGAGGGCTAGTGGATGCCATCCCAGCCCTCCTCCCTGCTGCAGGGGGTCCGGCAGCCGGTGGTCCTGCTCACCCGCTCGATGGCACGGTTACCTCCCGTGCCCTGCTGGCTCAGCCCCTTGGCCTTGCCTGCTGCCCGGAGCCTGCGGAGGCGGAGAGGAGCCGTTTCCTCCCGCTGACACCGCTGGGGGCTCGGGCGCTGCCGGCCGAGCTCCAGATGTGCCGGAACCGCCGGGAGAGATTTGGCCGAGGCAGCGATCCCGGGGCGCGGATCTGCCAGCGGCGGGACGGGATCAAAGAGCGGCGCGGCAGCACCTGCCGGTGCCGCGGGCAGTGACACCCCCGCGCTGGCGGGGGGCCAGGCCACCGGCACCTGCCTGCGAAACCTCCCGCGGGCCGGCGGAGCGCGGCGCTGAGGCGGGCTGCCAGCGGCCGTGCCCGTTCAGATGGCACCGTCACCGTGCCAGCGCCCAGCGGCCCCGGTGCCGCGGCAAGGGGCGGCCGGCGGGCGACGTGGCGCATCCCTCCCGCGCCGTTTTTTCCGGGATGGAAGCCCGGCCCTTCTGACGCTTGATGGTTTCTCCAGGCGGAGCCGCTGCCAGCAAGGTCCCCTCAGGGCTCCGGGGCTGGGTGGTGGTGACGTCACCCGGTCACCTCGCCACGCTTGCCGGGAGTGGCGGTGGTTGGAAAAGTCCCAACTGGGTGAAGGGAAACTGAGGCACGGTGCTGGAATAGCACAGGAAGGTGCCACTGTGCAGGGCTGGGCACGATATCCCTGTCCCCACCACCTCAGCGCCATCCTGTAACAGTAGGCACAGGGACGCCATGCCATGCCCGTGTGGGGGCCACTCAGACCAAATTCCTGCTGGTGCCTGGTCAAAGTCTTACAGCAGAGTAACCCCTGCCGTACCGGTGCCAGCTCCTCTGCTGCCCCACCCATCCCCTCGCTGGCTCTGTCCTCCTTGCTGCCCATAAAGCTGGGCTGGGCTGGGCTGGATGCCACCCAGCACTGTGGCACAGCCGGGAGAAGAACAAGTTGTGGTGCTGGAACAGAGCCTGCCAGCATGCCAGAGTACCGGCGCTGGCAGCACGAGGGTTACTGGCAGTGGGACAGAAGGGCATTTCCCGGGCACCCTGCCTGGCACTGCCTCTGCCTGCTGCTGGTCTGCCTGCACGGCTCTGGCTTGCTGCTGAACTCGCTGCCTGCCTGTGCCAGCTGCCTGCCCGCACCTGCACCTGACCTGCCTGCACCCGCTGCCAGCCCGCCTGCGCTCGCTGCCCGCTGGCACCCGCCGCCTGCACCTGCCCGCAGCCGCTCCTGCCTCCCCGCTCCTCCTGCACCTGCCTGCAGCCTGCAGCCCGCACCCCTGCAGCCTGCAGCCTGCAGCCCGCACCCCTGCCCGCCTGCAGCTCTGCCTCCCCACTCGCTCCGGACCTGCCTTCCCGGACGGCTGCCCCCGCAGGTAGGGACAGTCCGGGGAGCACAGGGCAGGTGTGGCCCCCACGGCAGCTCGTGTTCCCCCGCCCCGAGCCCTGCCCGCCGAGGCACGCGTGGCCCCGCTGCCGGCACCACTCGGCACTTGCTATTCTTGGCAGCGGCAGCTGGAAAATGGGAGGCAGCGGAGGAATTTTGTTTGCTCCGGGCTGGGCTCGGGCCAGACATCTGGGCTGCAGCTGAGCGGGGCGCGGGACCGGCCCCCCGTACCCCCGGTACGGCCCCGGCACGGCCCCCACGCTCGGGCAAGCAAGAGCCTGTCCCGGCCCGGAGGGAGCCCCGCCACCGCCCGTGTGCTGAGCCACACGTGTGCTGAGCTGGGCACCCTCAGCTGTACCCCGGGGACAGCGGGTGTCACCACCGCGGGGATCCCCGCGAGCGTCACCCCGGGCACTGCGGTGGCGGCACGGGTGTGTGTGTGTGTGTGTGTGTGGTGCACATGTGTGTGTGTGCACATGTGTCCCGGGGACAGCGGGTGTCACCACCGCGGGGATCCCCGCGAGCGTCACCCCGGGCACTGTGGTGGCGGCACGGGGGTGTGTGTGTGTGTGGTGCACATGTGTGTGTGTGCACATGTGTGAAGGTGCCGGCGTGTCCGCTCGTGAGCGCGTGTTCGCACACTCGTGTGCGCGTCCCTGTGCGCGCCCCCGGCCCCGCCCCGCCCCGCCCCGGGGGCCGCCCCGCTCCCTCCCGGCGGACGCGGCGGGCGGGGCCGGGCCGGACCGAGCCGAGCCGGGACACAGGTGGGTGCCGGGGGCCGGCAGGGAGCGGGGGTGGCCGGGGAGTGTCCCGGGACGCGGTGTCTGCGCTGCCGTCGGGGGGCTGCCCGTGCTGGTACGGGGGGCTCGCGGCGGGGTTCGTGTCCCCTCCGCCACCGGAGGGCTGGCGTCGGGGCTGGCACGGGGAGTTTCGCGGGCTGGATCTGCCAGGGTTGGCACCGAGGGTCTGTGGTGCTGCCGCTGCTGCCCGCCCCCCGCCCGCCCTCCGTGCCAGCCGAGAGCGGGTCCGCTCCGGGGTCTGCCCGGCGGGGGAGGGCAGGCGGGAGCCCCCCGTGCCCGCCCGGCCCGGCTGGCGGCAGCCCTCGGAGCTGCCAGAGCCCGGCGGGTCCCGCGCCTCATCCCGGCGCCTCTGTAAATGCCATTAGCGCCGACCGCCTTCGTGCCGGGACACCGGGCAGCCGTGGCCGGCACTGCGCCCAGCCAGGCCCTGCCCGCTGCCCTGCCTGCCCCGGGCTCAGCTCCTCCTGCCCGCAGGAGCTCCTTCCGTGCCGTGTGTATGTGACCCTCCAGGCCGGCATCCCCCAGCTCCGGCAGGGTAGCAGAGCCTGGGGTGATTGCATCGAGCCCCGGGGCTGTGGTGGGGCTTTGGCTGTCACTGGTGTCCTGGTGAGGCCCCAGTGGCTGTGCCGCGGGTGGAACCCACGGCTCAGTTTGTGCCTTGCACAAGGCACTGCAGCATGGCCGGGGGGCAAGGTGGGATCTGTGCTCTGGCACAGTCCCTGATAACCATCACCGCCCACTCCCGAGGGGAGAGCGTGCTGCTGCCAGAGCCAGAGGAGGACTTTCCTACCTCGTGGTGGGCACCCATCAGAGTGGCAGACACACCTGCACGGGCCCCTCTGGGTATTGTGGGCACCTGCTTAGCCAGAGCCTCCAAATCCTGCTCCCATTTCCATGGTGGAAAGGCCAAGGGCTAATGGTGGGGCTGTAGCAGTGGGGGAAACTGAGGCATGGGACCTCATGAATACCATCATGGACAGCTTGCCCCGTGCTCAGGAGCCCACTGACTGCCCAGGATGCCCTGTCTAGTTGTCACCATTCTGGTGCTTGCTCCGTCCTTGTCCCCACTCCTATAGGACCACTCAGTGCTTGCAGGCAGGAGTGGGCAGAGCCCGGCACACTGCTGCTGATGGGCTCAGACAGGCATGGGCAGGGCTGGATGCTGCTGGGCTGGGCTGCCTCTGTTTCCCCACGGGCAGGAGCAGGAGGGGTGTTTCTGAAGCCCATTATGTTTGGGATTAGATTAATGAGGACTTAAAAATAGGGAGGGATGTGGCTGGCTCGCATCCCCTCCAACTACCAGGGCGAGCCCAGTGGGGGATCCCCTTATGCCGTGCCTGTATTGCCCTGCGCTGATGCTCAGGGCTCTCCAGACACTCGGCAGCATCGGGGAGGGATCGTGGTCTGGGGGCTGTGGGGAGGGGGCTGTAACCCGAGCTGAGGTCTTGTTTCTCTGCCCCAGCCGCGGCGCCACCAGCCAGACCCCGGCCATGAGCCGCACGCTGCTCCCGCTCCTGCTCCTGCTGCGCGGGCTGGCCGCTGGCCGCCCCCCGAGCGCTGCCACCCCCCGCCTCAAGCTGGCCTTCCCCGGTGAGCACGGGACACGGGCGGGGTGCCTGGGGTCAGCTCTGGGTGCGCTGGTTCCGCGCCAGCAGCAGCCAGCATCATCCCGAGGGACGGGAGTATCCTGGGGATGCGGTGGGGTGGGTGCAGACCCCCAGCACTGGCACATCCCCAGCACTGCTGCCGCCCTCCCCGCGGGCCATCAGGTGCTGGCCCTGGCTGCCACGCTCCTTACCTGATGCCAGCCCCTCCAGGGCCACCTGCCCGTCCTTGGGGCCACGCCTGTGCTCGGGACCTCACTCCCAGCCCCCGGCGCGTGCAGCGCAGGTGCTGCTGTCCCTGCGTGCACCATGGTGGCACTCCCTGGCCACAGCCGTGCCATACCTGTGGCAATGTTGTGCCAGCTGGAGGAATGCTGTGTGTCCCGGCTGGCCACTCCACGGGCTCCAGCACGGCGCGGGGGCTTTGTCCAGCGGCGGGTCTCAGCAGGAGCTCTCCTCCCAGCCTGACAAAGGGCTGTTTGTTCCCGCCACGGTGGGATTAGCTCCGCGGGGCAGGGAATGGCCCCTTGTCCCCTGCTGCCGGCCGAGCGGGGCAGAGATGGGTGCCGAGGGCACGGGAATCACTGCTGAGTCTTTGGGGATGTCTCGGGGGACACAGGGCTGGGTGTGGGGCTGGCGTGGGGATGAATGCCGGGCAGGCGAGGGCTTGGTGAACCCAGTCAAGCCAGTGGGACAGGTTTGGGGGAGGGGATGGCATGGCGGGGGGCCGTGGCCTGACCCAGGCTGCCTCGGAGCGTGTCCGGGGCACTGGGGGTGGACAGGCAGCGGCGGGGCCGGGCTGAGCGGTGCCCGTGGGTCCCGGCAGAGCTGCGGGCTCGCCACGGGCTGCGCCTCTTCTCGCTGGAGCACTCCTGCTGCTACGAGGCCCTGCTGCTGGACGAGGAGCGCGGCCGTCTCTTCGTGGGCGCCCAGAACCACCTCCTGTCCTTGGCCCTGGATGACATCAGCCAGCGGGACAGGAAGGTAACGGGGCAGGGGGAATGTGCTGGCGGGGCAGTGCTGGGTGCTCCAGGCGCCGTGAGCAGCCCCTTCTCCACCCACAGATCTACTGGCCAGCTCCCGTGGAGTGGAGGGAAGAATGCAACTGGGCCGGCAAGGACATCACCGTGAGTGGTGGGGAGTATTGTGGGATGCCAGGACTGTGCCAGGGATCTGCCCCAGCACTACCTCACCCTTCATTGCCTCCATCCCCAGGCCGAGTGCATGAACTTTGTGAAGATCCTGCACCCCTACAACCGGACCCACCTGTATGCCTGTGGGACTGGTGCCTTCCACCCAGTCTGTGCCTTCATCGAGGCTGGCCAGCACGCAGAAGTGAGCCTCCCCTGACACCACCACCACAGCCTCCAGCTGCTGCCACCTGCCCACCTCCCATCCTTACCCCTCTCCAGGAGCCTGTTTTCAAGCTGGACCCCCACCACACTGAGGATGGCAAGGGGAAGAGCCCATATGACCCCCGGCATACAGCCGCCTCTGTCCTTGTGGGTAAGGGCATTCTGAGCCTGGTGCTGGGTGCAGCGTGGCACAGGGGTGCCAGGGGGGCCCCGATAACACTTCCCTCGGTGCCTGCCAGGCGAGGAGCTCTACTCTGGGGTGGCCACCGATCTGATGGGCCGTGACTTTACCATCTTCCGCAGCCTGGGCCGGCGTCCCTCCATCCGCACGGAGCAGCACGACTCTCGCTGGCTCAACGGTCAGTGCTGGGACTGGGAGGGTGCGGGGCAGGGGGCACCACTGGCACCCTGGCGCAGCAGTGCTGCTGCCTGGAAGGCATCAGGGCAATGACTCCTTCAGGCTCAGGTGTACACTGTCCTTCATGGCCTCCAGAGGGTGATTTCAGGGCTTCATGTGTCGCCTCCAGATCCTCAGTGTCTGCTGGAGTCCCATCCTCACCCTGCCTCTGCTCTGCAGCTGGGCAGGGTTGGCTCTGCACCCTCCCCTGGGACCCCTACAGGTACTCCAGGGTCCCTGGGGAGCGGAGCTAGTGGAGTCATTGGAAGCACTACCCCTCTGTCCCCAGAGCCCAAGTTCGTGGCCGTTTTTTGGGTGCCAGAGAGCGAGGACCCCGACGACGACAAGATCTACTTCTTCTTCCGTGAGACGGCGGTGGAACGGCAGCAGGGGCTGGGCAAGACCAGCTTCGCCCGCATCGGCCAAATCTGCCGGGTGAGAGCACCCACAGGCAGCTGGGCTGGGGCCAGGGTGCCCAGGGGTGCCACCTGCTGCTGCTGACACCGGTGTCCTCCTCTCCCTGGCAGAACGACATGGGTGGGCAGCGCAGCCTGGTGAACAAGTGGACCACGTTCCTGAAGGCTCGGCTGGTGTGCGCCGTGCCAGGACCTGACGGGGCAGACACCCACTTTGATGAGCTCCGTGAGTAAACGGGGACGTGACCCCACCAGCATGGCTGTGGGCAGCACTGGCAGCGCTGATGCCTTCCCTGCTTGCAGGGGATGTTTTCCTGTTGCAGACAAGAGACAAGCGCAACCCTCTGATCTACGCCATCTTCTCCACCTCCAGGTCAAGCCCCCTCCCCAGGACCCTGCACATACCCAGTGGTGCCCCCCTTGCCCCCTGACATCTTTCTGTCTCTCTCCCACCAGCTCTGTTTTCCAAGGCTCAGCTGTCTGTGTCTACACCATGGCTGACATCCGCCGGGCTTTCCTGGGCCCCTTTGCACACAAGGAAGGTCCCAACTACCAGTGGGTGTCATACCAGGGCCGTGTGCCATACCCCCGCCCAGGCATGGTACGTGGTGTAGGGGTGTCCCGGCTGGTGCCCCCAGTGGGATGCCACTACATGGTGTGGGGACAGCGGGGTGTGAGACCCTGCTTAGCCTGTGCTGTCTCCCTGCAGTGCCCCAGCAAAACCTTCGGCACCTTCGGCTCCACCAAGGACTTCCCAGACGAGGTGATCCAGTTTGCCCGTCACCACCCACTGATGTATAACCCTGTCTTGCCCCATGGCCAGCGCCCCCTCTTCCTGCAAGCCGCCGTGCCCTACACTTTCACCCGCATAGCTGTGGACCGTGTCACCGCTGCTGATGGCCACTACGACGTCCTCTTCATTGGCACAGGCATGTAGTGACCCTAGGGACGGGGCAGTGAGGGACGGCGGGCAGATGCTGGGGCTGGACCCGTGGCCTCACCCCTCCCTGCCTGCAGATGTGGGCACAGTGCTTAAGGTGGTCTCAGTGCCCAAGGAGAGCTGGCACCGCATGGAGCCGCTGCTGCTGGAGGAGCTGCAGGTCTTCCAGGTGAGGGTCGGGGTTCCCCATCCCACCAGTCAGACTTCCTCGCAGTGCTGTCTGTGCTCTGAGTTGTGCCAGGGCACTCCAGCTCCAGGATGTGGGAGCCAGGGTGCTGCATCCCTCGGTTGCCCCGTGCACCCTTAACTCCTGCCCATGCTCTGCCCACAGGATGCCTCCCCCATCATCAGCCTGCAGCTCTCCTCCAAGCGGGTAAGGGGGGACCCCTGGGCATTCCCAGGTCCACCACGGCTCTGCCTAGCCCCGTGCCACGGCAGGGGGGTGCTCAGCTCTGCTCTTCCCCCAGCATCAGCTCTACGCTGGCTCAACCACAGCGCTGGCCCAGCTGCCCCTGCACCGCTGCAGCGCCTACGGCAAAGCCTGTGCCGAGTGCTGCCTGGCCCGGGACCCGTACTGCGCCTGGGATGGCAACACCTGCACCCGCTACGTGCCCAACACCAAGCGGTAGGTGACAGGCCGGGCTGCCCGAGGCCGCGGTGGGAGCGCGGGTCCCGCTGCAGCCCCCGCTCCTCCCTCGCCTTCCCACAGGCGCTTCCGCCGGCAGGATGTCCGCAACGGCGACCCCAACGTGCTGTGCTCTGAAGGTGAGCCGGGAGCCAGCCGGGGTCCGGGGGCTGCCCTGCCGTGCTGGGGGCTGACAGCCAGGCTGTGTCCCCGCAGACCCCAGGCGGGACAGCGTGCCCCAGAAGCAGCTCTATGGGGTGGAGGGAAGCACCGTCTTTCTGGAGTGCATCCCCAAATCCCTGCAAGCGCGCATCCTCTGGACATACCAGCGCACCCTGAATGATCCCCAGCGAGAGGTAGGTTCTCCTTGGCCGGGTACCGCCGGTGGGGCCGTGCCGAGCCGTGCCGAGCCGTGCCGTGCCGTGCCGTGCCGTGCCGAGCTGACCGCCCATCCCCGCTGGTACTGCAGGTGCAGATGGACGAGCGGGTGGTGCGGACGGAGCGGGGTGTCCTGCTGCGCAGCGTGCAGCGCTCCGACGCCGGCCTCTACCTCTGCCACGCCACGGAGCACGGCTTCACGCAGCCCCTGCTGCGGCTCTCCCTGGAGGTGATCGGCGCCTGGCAGGCCACGGGCGTGGCATCCGCCGGAGACCCCCAGCTCTCCGCCGGCATCCCCGGCCGCAAGCTCTGGTACCGGGACTTCCTCCAGCTGGTGGAGCGGCCGCCGCTGGGAGCCACGGACAAGGTGTGCCAGAGGCTGTGGAGCCGGGGCAGACCCCCGCCGCCGCCCCGCGCTCCCGCCGGGCCCCCCGGGCGCGGGCAGGGCGAGGAGCCGCGCAGAGCCCGCCGCCGGCGCACCCACGAGGGGCCGCGGGCCGAGCGCGGTCCCCGCAGCGCGTCCCCCTGGTGACCCGGGGGTCGGCCCCGGGCGCCGGGCTCTGCCTAGGAGCGGGGCCGCAGCGGGGGCACAGTGCCGGGGGCTGCGGCTCCGGGGCCGAGGAGGGCAGCCGGGCTGAGCAGCCCCCCGAGGGGCTGCCGACTGCCCTTGCCACCGGCTCCAGCACCGGTGGGGACCCAGCCGGCTGCCGGCGTCGCAGAGTCACCGAAATATTTATTAACGACTGTTACTATGAATGTAAACCTGCGGGGCCAGGCGGTGCCCCCCCCAGCACGGCACTGCGGGAGGACGGCACAGCAGGGCCACGCTCGGGTCCCAAAAGGGCTACAGGCAGCAGTGGGAGCACGGTACAGCAGGGCGGGCACTGGTGGGACGCAGGAGGAGGGGGGCATGAAGGGCAGATGGTGGGGAGGCATAAAGGTGGCACCCACCGCTCTGGGTGTGGAACAGTGGCACGGGGGACCTTGTACTAATTGAGCACAATAAAGCAGATTCAGCCGCCCAGGGTCCCGTGTCTGACCCAGAGCCCCGGGAAGCGCTCGGGGGCAGCCCAGTGCCCCACAGCACGGCCCCGCTCTGGCCCCCCAGGCCTGGAGGGGAGGGATGTCCGGCAACACCGCAGGGCTGAAGGGAGACCAGACCTGCAGGGACACTGCAAGGCTGATGGGTTTCCCCCAGACTTCCAGCTCCCCGTGCTTTCAGCTCCACTTTGATTTCTGGAAGATGAAAACCAAACTTCCCCGGTGCCAGCAGGCAGCAATTAAGGCAGTGACCGCGGGTGACCTCGGAGTCTGCTGCCTCCTGCTGTCTGCGCTGGCAGCAGGACCCCTGGTGGCACTGGCCACATCCCACGGCCTGTGGTGACACCAGGCCACCAGCATAAACCATGTCCCAGCACTGGCTGCACCCCAGCCTGGACACTTGAGCCCCCAGCATGAGCACAGGCAGGCAGGGGTGCAGGCAGGAGCAGGCAGATAAAGGAGCTGGTTTTTTCTCCTGAGGTCCAGCTGGCAGCAGGTTGGCATCCTTGACCCCACCAAGCACCCTGGGGTCAGGGAGCACTGCTTTACTGCACCTCTGTGGCCCTGTGCCATCCCAGCCGCTTGCGGCATTGAGGACCCCCCTCATCGGAAAAGGTTGGTGACCCCAACCCCTTTGACTACCCCATGTGACACCTGTCACTGTCCCAAACAGAGCAAGCAGCACAAGGATCTACTAAGTATTTATTTCCAGCATGACAGGAGGGTACACAGGGGCACGGGCTGGTGCTGGGGGCAATGCTCAGGAGGACAAGCAGGCAGGGAGCTAGGGGAGCTGGGGGCCCGCGCCCCCCCGCAGCCGCAGGAGCAGGTAGATTGTGCCCATGGGCCTGACGTTGTAGTGGGCCAGCGTGTGCTGGTCCTGCAGCTCCCTGGACTCATAGGTCAGGCGCTGCTCGTTGGCAGAGGGCCCTTGCCGGGCCTGGATCCGCTCCTTCAGCTGCCGGACGGTGTCGGTGGGCAGCACCGTGTAGGTCGTGCTTCGATTCTTATCATCCTTCACAAAGATCTCCATCTCCTGGAGCTCAGTCTGCAGCAGCACCAGCGTGGTGTTGTAGAAGATGCCGTGCGTGGCCAGGGTGTCGCAGTCCTGCAGGATGATGTTGTTCCTGCCCAGCTCCTGCTGTGCCAGGCGCTGTCTGTAGGGAGAGATGCCCCACTTCTGGTGGATCACATCCTTCAGCTGCCCGATGGTGGTGTGGGGGCTGACACGCTCTGTCAGTCTGGTGCCTGACAGCTGCCTCACCTCAATGGTCACGGGCCGGGCTGGCTGCAAGGACAGGAGAGCGGGTGGGCAAAGACAGCAGGGACAGGGGTGGGGGACGTGATGCTCACAGGCTGAAGCAGCCTTACCTGCACAGCCCAGGGCTGGACGTTTGCAAGGCAGGGCAGCGAGCGGCAGCAGCTGGCAGCTGCCTGTGCCATCAGGTCCCAGTCCTTGTCTTGGCCCAGGATCCCCGTGGGGTCAGCAGGGTCCAGGATGACAGGGCTGCAAACACAGGGAGCATTGCTGTCAGCCCTGGGCAGTACCATGGGGCCAGCAGGCACAGTCCTACTGGGCATGGTCCTCACCGGGGACTGCGCAGCAAGCCCTTGACATGGGCACCAATCTCTCCGTGCTGGAGCGAGTAGTACTTCTCCCAGTAGATGCAGATGTCCCGGTGCCTGCCCAGCAGTTCCAGCACTGTGCGGAAGCCCTGAGCCATGTCAAAGCTGCAGGAGGAGCCTGTGCCCTCCTCCCAGGCATAGATGGTCAGCAGCTCCAGGGCATACTTAGGGGGCAGGTGAGCCTCGGGGTACTGTGGATTCAGCATCTGGGGAGAAGATACAGATGGAGGTGAGAGCTGGCTGGGATGGGTGTCTACTGGGAACTGGGAAAGCTGGGCAGCCCCTCACCTCCTTGTACCAGTACTTGACCAGGCGCAGGAGGTCCTTCAGCTTGGCAGGGTAGCGCTTCACAAACATCTTCTGCAGCTCAGTGAAGCAGGGGGAAAACTCCCCGGGGTGGCTGCAGGCACGCAGGAGCCCCACATACACGTCTGGGTTTGGTGGGACATCCTGGGTCACCTGCCCTGTGGGGCGAGAAGGAGGGTTGAGAAGGAGGGTGACAGCCATCCCAGCACTGACACCATTGCCCGTCCCTGTGCCAGCCCTTACCCAAAGCATCATAGGCAGGCAGGATGTCCATGTCAATGGACTCTCTGGTCTCCCTGGAGGACAGAGTGAGGCTGAGGGAGCGCGGTGTGCTGTCGGGACCTTTGTACCTGGGCTCACCAATGTGCACATCGAACTGCAGGCTCTCCCTGCAGTCCTGCAGCCTTGTCATGATCGAATCCAGGATATCCCTTCTGTTGTTCTTCTGGTCCTGGTAGCTGGCTAAGCAGGAGACGAAGAGCACCACATCAGCATCAGAGGTGTTCTTCAGAGCTGTGCCCTTTCCTGCTGATCCACCCTGCAGAGAGAGACCCTGCCTGCTCAGCACCAGGATCGGCTGCCACCACTCCTGGAGCTGTCAAGGGAAACTGAGGCAGGGCAGGAGCTGGAGCATGGGACAGTGGGAAGGGTGGCAGCAGGGGTGGCAGCTGGTCCCCAAGCCGGGCAGCACTCACCTTGACGGTCTTTTGGACATGGATGTTATCCTCAAAGCACTTCGTCTTCAGGAATTCACAGATTTGCCACACTGTCGCCCTCACCTGCATGGAGAAAGCTGTGCTGGGCTGCAGGGTTCTGGCGATCCAGCCATCCAGCTCCCTGGCGGTCACTGTTCTCAGTCCGTTCGTGGATGCCACCGGGTCCACATCCATGCTGACAGGTGTGTCGCTCCCTCTGCCCTCTTCTCACTTGGTGCCTCCCTCTACTCCCGCCCGCACCACTCCACCCCTGACAGGCTGCGGCTGTCGGCAGCAGCTTTTAAACCTTCCCGGGCCACCGCCCCGCTGCGTCACCTCTGGGAACTTAAGGTGGCCCCAGGCCGTTTCCTCGGGATGCTCAGGGTGTCCCCGTGCCACCGCGGCGGGGGCAGGAGCGGCTGGGTGTCACCCTGACATGCGGCTCGGGTGGCGGTGGCAGCTCCTGCAGGCTGGCCCCGGGCTGCTGTGGCACCTCGTAGCCCCGGTGGCGCCGGTGACACAGGGTGTCCCCCGAAAGGCAGAGCCCCACCGCAGGCAGCAGTCCCCCGCTGGGGGCTCAGGTGCCCGGGCTGGGGCACAGCCAGCGCTGGGACACGGCTCACGCTGTGCCACGGGCTCAGCAGGGCCGGCGGATGTGGCCAGCGCCACCAGCTGCCCTGGTGTCACCACGGGCAAAGGAATGAGGCCGTCACCAGGGTCAGCAGATGCCCTGGCACCGCTGCAGGCAAGGAGATGCAGACGTGGCCAGTTCCACCGAGGTGCCAGCAGCGTCGGTGTGACACGGCTGGTGCCCGCAGCCCCGGGAGGCAGGTGCCCTCCCTTGCAGGGACATGCCCCGGTGCAGCGGTGCCCGCAGCCCCGGGAGGCTGGTGCCCTCCCTTGCAGGGACATGCCCCGGTGCCCCTCGGGGCGTACGCGCAGGGGGTTTGCAGCCCGTGCTGCCTTAAGCGGCGAGATCGGGAGTTTCGGTTTCTGTTCCCGACGCAATTTCAGTTTCTGGCTCTGCCAAGCTGGAAACGAAAGTGCGAAGGAGCCCGCGAGTGCCCCCTTGCCCGAATAAACCGGGAAGAGCCCAGTGACAGAAACTCACAGCTGGGAACTCGGCTCGGGGTCGGGCAGGGCCGGGCGGATGGGCGGGGGCTGTGGGCAGAGGGGAGTGTGCTCCTGGGAGCAGGACTGGCAGGAATGGGAGCAGGGGCAGGATGGGGAATAGGGCAGGAGCAAAAAGGGGCAGGGAGACAGGGCAGGCCATGGGCAGGAGACAGGCAGAGGCTGGGGAGAGGAAGAGAGGGAGGGAGGGGAAGGGATAGGGACAAGGATGGGGCAGGGAAAGGTCAGCAGCAGGGGCAGGGATGTGAATAAGAGGGAGATAGGGTCCATTTGGGGTCAGGGTCCATTTGGGGTCAGGGACAGGGGTGCAAATAGAGCAGAGCAGAGATGGGCAGGATTACAGGGATACAGTCAGAAGCAGAGATGTTGGATATTAGGAAAAAGTTTTTTACAGAAAGGGTGATAAAGTACTGGCATGGTCTGCCTGGGGAGGGGGTGGAGTCCCCATCTCTGGATGTATTGAAAGGAAGATTGGATGTGGCACTTGTTGCCATGGTTTAGTTGAGGAGTTAGGGCTGGGTTGGACTCGATGATCTTGAAGGTCTCTTCCAACCCAGTGATTCTGTGATGGGCAGCAGCAGCAAATGGCCAGGGATGCAGGCAGGAGCAGGGATAGGTGTCCCCTTAGTACGGGGTGACAGCAAGGCAGGAATAGAGGCAGGGGCAGGGATATTAGGAGGAGAGGCAGGGAGAGGACCAGCTCAGGGGACAAGGTTACAGGGAGGGGCAGAGCTGTGGGCAGGGACAGGTGTCATGCACATGTCACACCTGAGGAGCAAGGCCAGACACCAAGATGAGCATGACAAGAGACATTCTTTATTGGGGACAGGGTTACAGGCAGGGGCAGAGCTGTGGGCAGGGACAGTGTCATGCACATGTCACACCTGAGGAGCAAGGCCAGACACCAAGATGAGCATGACAAGAGACATTCTTTATTCACACCCAGGGGCTGTCCCAGCCAAGCTGAGGCACCCCGAATGTGGTTCACATGTGGGTCTTGCACCATGCAAGTGTTGAGGTACAACAAGGCTCCACGAATTCCCTGCTGTCCCCATGGCTTTGTAAGGCCAGTGCAATTGTGTGGCTTTGGCATCCTCCCTTCCTCAGTCTGGAGCCAGTCTCACTGTGTCAGGGGTACTTATCTGTGAGGCCAGATGATGGAGGGGCCCCAGGGAGGTGTTGGAGGGCCCAGGCTGTGGGCCTTATCTGCCTGCCCACACAACCACAGCTATGCAGAGCACAGCATAACAGGGGCTGTATAGATCTCAGTAAAGCCCAAACCATTTCATACTAGAAAGACTAATTGGCACTTTTCTCAGGGAATGAGATTTTCCTACTGAGATGCAGGCAGGGCAGGGACAGAAGAAGGGATACAGGCAGCGATGATGAGTGGCCAGGGATGAAGACGGAGCCAGGACAGAGACAGAGATGTGCAGAAAATCATGTAAGGAGAAGCCAGTGTCCATAAAGGAAACAGAGGAGTCCTGCTACTTTATTCAAATAAAGAGAGAGACTCTAGTGGGCCATTTCCCCAGGGAATTCCTCTCCCAGCGTTCGGACGATGCAGCCTCCTTTCATCCTAACTCCTGGCTGCATGCTGCCCTCTTCCTTTCCCCACTGGCTGAGGTACTGGGAAGGTACAGCCTTCCCGAGCCGCCTGCCACATGTTCCGCCCTGAAACTGTCATTTGCCCCTGAAGTTCAGAAGTTCAGGCTGAGTTCAGCAATAGACTTTGTGCTGACCCACTTGTCTATTGCCCTAAAGTTCAGGAATTCAAGCTGTAGTCGGGCTGTCTGGGTTCTGTACCAAACCTGTGTGGCTTGAGGTCAGTAGAGACGCTAAGACCCATTTCAAAGACATGAGCACCCATTTCTCCTAAAGACCCTCACCCGCTGAACTGTTTGCAAATAAATCAGTGGGCATCTTTCCTATCAGGAACCAGGGACGAAGATAGCGCCTGAACAGGGAGAGAGGCAGGGTTACTGAGGGAGCAGGGATGAACAGAGCGCCTGGACAGGGAGAAGGGCGGGGAGAGGGTCAGAGAAAGGGGCAGGGAGGCGAGCAGGGACAGGTACAGGGACAGGGACAGGGGTGAGTTGTGGGGGCCCGGGCGAGGGGAGCGGGGCCGCGTGTGACACGGCCGGGCTGGCACCGCCGGGCTGGCAGCGAGTCTCACACGAGTCTGCTCCGAACCCCCGCAGGCGGCGCCGGCAGCGCCCGGGCGAGCTCGCCCGGCAGCGAGGAGGAGGCCGGCAGCGAGGTGCTGAGCCACTGCAGCAGTGCCAGCGAGAGCGCCAGCGCCGCTGACGAGGGGCCAGGTGAGCCACGCGGGCCCCACGGTGCCCCCCACGTGCGTGGCGGTGCGCCCCGCCCTCGGGCTTCCCTCGGGCTTCCCTCGGGTCAGCCAGGATGCCGCCCGGGCAGGGAGCGAGGCGGCGAGTGAGCCGGGCCAGGAGGAGGAGGTGGAGGACAGGCTGAGAGAGCACATGGACACCCTCCTGGACAAGAGGTGAGCAGCGGCTGCCACCCCCGCGGGCGCTCCGGGCACGCTGCCCGCGCTGCCAGCGCTGCCGGCCGGGCCGTGCCGTGCCCCGTGGCCGGTAGCCCGGGCCGTGACGTGCCGCGGTGTCTCGCAGCGCCAAGGCGCGGCAGGCGGCACTGCAGGGCCTGCGCCTGGCCCTGTCCTCCAAAACGCTGCCCGAGTTCCTGCTGGAGCGCCGCCTCACGCTCACCGACTCCCTGGAGAAGTGCCTCAGGAAAGGTCAGGGGCAGGCGGGCGGGGGGCGGCGCGGCCGCGGAGCGGCTCTGAGGGAGTCTCTCGTGCTGCCCACAGGTAAAGGGGAAGAACAGGCGCTGGCGGGCACCGTGCTCACCCTCCTCTGCCTCCAGATGGGCTCTGGCCCGGAGGGGGAAGAGGTGTTCCGCAGCCTGAAGCCCCTGCTCGTCAGCGTCCTGACAGACAGCACGGCCAGCCCCAGCGCCCGGCAGAGCGTAAGGCCCGGCCCCTTTCCTCCTGGGGACACCTCCGTGCTGGGGAGAGCCCAGGCGGTGCCTTTGGGAGCCCCTGCAGTCCCCAGAGGGTGACAGGATTGGGTGCTGTGGAGTGCACTGCGGCAAAGCAGGGGCACCCCAGCCCGGCTGCCCCTTGGCTGGGTGCTGGGTCAGGCCTGGCATGATCCACCTGGGCCTGATCTGTGTTTCCCTGACTTCTCTTGCCAGTGTGCCACGGCCCTGGGCATGTGCTGCTACATTGCTGCTGCTGACCTCGAGGTAACTGCGCCTGGGTGTCGTCTGTAGCCCTGCAAGAGGGCACCCAGGGGCTGCCATGACATCTGCCCTCAGCCCACAGTGCCAGAGCAGCCTGGAGCTGAGCTGGAGTAGGGGTACGGGGACATGAGTGACAGCCCAGCCCCCTTCCCTGGGCAGCCTGGAGCTGAGCTGGGGGGAGCCAGCAGATGGGGTGTTGTGGGTGGAATAGCCTCTCCTGGCACCCCTTGGTGTGGTGGGTCCCCTTTGGTCCCCAGTGCACAGCTCAGAGTGGCTTCTCCATAGCAGCTGTGGTCTGACTGGCAAAGTTTCTCTTCTCCAGGACCTGGTTTCATGTCTGTCCTGCTTGGAGGGCATCTTCAGCGCCCCCAGCACAGGCGAAGGGGGCTCAGCACCTGCCCAGCACGGGCCTCTGCACTGCAGCGCGCTCCAGTCATGGTCCCTGCTCCTCACCATCTGCCCCCCCTCCCACCTCAGGAGCATTTTGGACAAGTGAGTGGGGTGTGAAGTGAGTGGAGGCTGGTGTGGGGCAGTCAGCAGTGGAGCACGGAGCCCCTGGGGCAGTGCTTGGCCTCTCTGACTGCCCTGTTGCCTCTGTGTCCCAGTCGCTGGCTGCAGCTGCCCCCACTGCTGACCAGCAGCAGCGTTGCCCTGCGCATCCTGGCCGGGGAAACCATTGCACTGCTCTTCGAGCTGGCCCAGGACCTGGAGGTAAGGCATGGGCTGTGGCAGTGGGAGCAGTGGGTGGGCACTAAGCAGACAGCAGGGCTGTGACACCCTGGCATGCCCCTGCTGAGCTGGAATTGACGCAGGCGCCCAGGCAGAGGGGCTGGCCACAGTGGTCCCCCAGCCCTGTCCTGGCCATGGCAGTGGGCACTGCCTGGAGCTCATCCCTCTAAATCCCCTGCTTTTTGGCAGGAGGACTTGTACCACCAAGATACAGAGTTCCTGTGTGCCCAGCTCAAGGTCCTGGCTACTGAGAGCAACAAGTACCGAGCCAAGACAGACCGACGGAGGCAGCGATCCATCTTCCGGGACATCCTGCGTTTCATTGAGGTACCACGGCCTGCTGCTGCCCTGCCACTGTGGCTGGTGCCCAGCTGCCTGATGATTCCTCTCTGGAGAGCCAGGGGACACATAGGGCTGGTGCCCAGGTTGTTGCTGATGCCTCTCTCTCTGCTCAGAGTGGGGAGTACCAGGAGGAGACCATCCGATTTGGCCTGGAGTGCATGTACCTGGACAGCTGGGCACGCCAGCGCACCTACCAAGCCTTTAAGGAGGTGCTGGGCTCTGGCATCCACCACCACCTCCAGGTATGGGCTGGGCAGATGCACCAGGGAGTGCTGGGCTGGTGCTGGTTGGTGTGACAGACCCCTGCTTTCACAGAATAATGAGCTGCTACGGGAGATCTTCGGCCTCGGGCCCCCCTTGGTGCTGGATGCAGCTGCCCTGAAAGCCAGCAAGGTCTCCCGCTTCGAGAAGGTGGTGTCACCTCCCAGATTTGTGCCCACAGTCCCCTCCTCTGCCACCCGGAGCTCCGGCTGAGTGCCTGAGTGTGGTGGGCGCTGCTGGGGAGGTGGGCAGAGGGGCACCCCAAACCCTAATCTCTCCTTCCCTCTCCTTCCAGCACCTCTACAACTCAGCTGCCTTCAAAGCGCGCACGAAAGCGCGGAGCCGCGTGCGGGACAAGCGGGCAGATGTGCTGTGATGGGCAGAGGGGGCAGAGCCCCCAGCCCGCCTGGACTGCAGACCCAGCACTGTGAGGGGCACGTGCCCCCAGCCCTTGGGCTTTTATTCATGTACAGCAGAGTATTTAATACCTGGAGCTGCCCCAAGGGGGGGCTGCCCCCTCTTTTTATTTTTTTAACCAAAAAATAGGAAGCATAAAAGAAGAGCAGGGGGAGGTGGTGGCGTTGTGCCGTGTGCCTGCTCTGTGGCTGCAGATCCATGTGGCACAGTGGGGAGGGGGTCTCACCCAGGCTCCTGCAGCCACTTTCAGCGGCAGGGCTCGTGTGCACCCTCCCCAGTGCTGCAGGGGCACCAGGGTGGCCTGGCACAGCCTGAAGGGTGGGTGGGAGGGCAGAGCTGTGCAGGGCTGCAGAGCAGCTGGTCCTGGTGTCTGTGGCAGGAGTGTTCTCCCCACCCTGCCATGCTGGGTACAGCCCCTGCCTCCCCAGCCAGCCTGGCGTCAGCGATGGTGGCAGAGCAGTGTGGAGTGGGAAGCTCTGCCCAGTCATGCCAGCTGCCACTCTCAATCCTTTTCCAGCCAAACGCTTTATATGAAATAGTAATCTTGTGGGAAATTAATTACAGGGGGGGCACTGCCCAGGCGGGCATGGGGCCATGCCAGTTGGCAGTGCCTGCCACCCTGGGAATGTATCTATCATGGTGATTTTCTAAGACTTTGATTGTAAGAGGTAATTAAAAGGCTAAATAAAGTATGCCTTCTGCCTTGTTAAGAGGAAGGGCTGTCACTGGGGTGGACGCAGGTCCTTACAGCCCAGTTTCTTTCTCTCACAGCCTGGGACAGGGTCCGGGATTGCCCCTGTGCCCCAAGGGGCAATGCTGCCAGGTCTCAGCGGGTCAGGCTGCCCGCTCCCCCCTCCTGCCCTTCGGTGTCCCTTCCCGTGGTGGCCCAGAGCCCATGGTGGCATCAGGGGCAGCTCAGCGGTGCCCACCAGGCTGGGCACTGGCATTGAGGCGAGCCCAGAGCTGCCTGCTGGCCACCCGCAGCTGCTGCACGGCGTCCTCCTGGCTCTCCAGCCACTGGGCCAGCGCCCGCACCGACTGGCTCTGCAGGACTGCGGGGACAGGACGGGAACGTGCTGAGGGCGGGCAGCTCGGCCCCCACAGTTCCCCGGCTCCCCACCCTGCCAGTGCCACGTACCGCTCAGGTAGATGGCCAGTGTGGCCAGGACCAGGCTCGACAGTGCCAGGAGCGCCAGCAGGGCCAGCAGCAGGGGGTGGCCAGGGCCGAGGCAGGGGCAGGGGCTGGCGGGGGGCACGGGGCGCAGGGTGGGCAGGAGCGGTGCGGGCACGGGGGACACGGGCCGAGGCGGGGGCCGGTGCAGGCTGCTGGAGGGAGCCGGGCCATTGCCTGCAGGCAGGGGAGAGAAGGGGTCAGAGCCTGGCCGCGGGCACAGCCGGGTCTTGCACAGCCCCCCCTGCCCCCCTCTCACCCTCTGTGCCCTTGTGCCCGCCCGAGGCCCAGTACAGGTCACTGATGGACTCCACGGGGCGCAGGCTGATGGCTCCAGACTCGCTGCTGTCGGGGTCCCCAGGCTCTGCCGGCGCAGCGCCCTCAGCCCTTCCCATGCTGTCTGCTGGAACAGAGGGGAAGGGTCAGCCTGTGCCCTGCCCTGGGCACCCCTGTGGGACCAGAGCCCTGCCGGGGGGATCTCGGCCTTGGCAGCCCAGGGCAGGCAGCCAAGGCTGGTGCTCCTTTGGCCCAGCCCTGCAGCCACAGTGGGCAAGCAGTGGCTGTGCCCCCCCGGCCCCACCGCTGTCATCGCAGCAGTTAGCGGGTGCCTGGTGGCCACGATCCCGGAGCCTTGTTAGTGGGGCTGGAATCTGGCCCTGGCTTGGGGGCAGGAATGTGCCACCCCCCAGCCAGGAGAGCCCAGGCACTGTGGGACTGGCTGGGGCTCCAAGGGCCAGCTGGAAGCTGGTGGGCAGGTGCAGGGCAGCGCCAGTCTGTGGTGTGGCCCAGCTTGCCCTGCAGGTACTGTGCTGCTTGGGGGTGCACAGATGGAGATGTGGGGTGTATGCTGTGTCAGGGGGCCCTGGTGCCTATTGCCCTAAAGCCCTACTGAGAGAGCTTTTTAGAAGTAGGCATTACTCCTGTTTTGGGAAGTAACCAAAAGGGAAAATATTATTTTCTAGGTGTTGGTGTATTTTTGAGCAGTGGGCAGGGCCCACGCACTGTGCCCTTGGCAGAGCATGGCAGGCTGGCAGCGTGCCCACTCCCAATCCCTCCCGGGGTCAGTGGCGTGGCGCAGGGCAGCGTGGCGCCGTGCTGCTGCTGTCCAGACCGTGTGTCACCCGCAGGGCTGGCAGGCATCAGGGTTGGGGGGCCTCAGCCGTAGCCAGGGTCCCCTCAGAGCCTCCCCACAGCCCTACCCTTGGCCAGGGACTGCTCCACAGGTACCCACATCACCCCTGCACCCACTTGCCCCCTGTGGGGTGGGGCACAGCTGGCCATGTAGGTTTGCTGCAGGGGACTGTGCACTCCAGCTGCCTATACCCTCCCCAAACCCTGCTGCCCAACTCCTGCAGCCCTCCAGGACCCCCTTCTTCCCTGGGCAGGCATCTCTGCCCACAGCCCCCATGGCAGAGGGCACCATCTGTCCACTGCTTCCATCCCAACCCCACAGCCGTGCATTGCCCGGTATCCCCTGGGGTGCTAGAGCCCCCGCCAGCCCCAAGCCCACTCCCCAGTGTACCTTCTGCAGCCTCCCTGGGCATGGCTCCCTGCGCCCGGGCAGCGTGAGCGGGCAGTGAGGTGCTGCAGGGCCCCCAGGAGCTGGGCACTGGGTTCCCGGTGCGCCAACTGCGCCGCTTAAAATAGGACAGTGAGAAACACGGTTGGGGGGCGATAAAAATAGCTGTGGGGAGGGGGGCCTGGTGACGTGGTCAGGGCTGCTGGCAGCACAGTGCCAGTGGCAAAGGGACAGCAGGTTGTGGCAGTGCCCCATGTCCCCTTTCCCAGGGTAAAGGGGCTGCCAGCTCATGGGATCAGGGCAGAGCCCGTGCAGGAAAACTGACGCACTGCTGGACCCATCCAGAGCCAAACTGGGATCTGTGCTGCCTCTCAGCAGCAATGGCAATTGTGCCCAGCATGGGGACACCACAGAGTCGCCCAGCTTTGCCCACAAAAACCATGCTAGCTCTGCAAGGAGAATTTATTTAGATTAATGAGACCACAGGAAGTGCCAGCAGCAGCACAGCTGGGGTAGGGGACCGTGGCGGTCCCTGGCCTTTGTCACCAGCCCCACGTGCCCTGTGGCAGGCAGGTGTCAGAGGATGTGAGATCCTTGTGCCCATAGGGGCTGTGAGCGTGGGCAGGCACCTGGCAGGAGGTGGCAGGGCTGAGCCGCACCCGCTGGGCACAGCCCTCACCTGCCCAGCCACGGTAGCAGTGGCAGCGGAAAGCAGCCCAAGGGCTGGCACCGGGGCCAAGGTGCAGGAGGCTGCCCAGGTCGTGGGGCTGCCGGCGCACACAGCGCCCGTGCCCATGGCACTGCCCATAGCTGCATTCTCGGGCTGCTGCCGTCACGTTGGCCACGTAAGGACCCAGGGTGGACACGAGGTAGTGGCGCAGGTTGGCACAGCTTTCCTGGGGAGGAAGCACCAGTGACAACCCGCCCCAGCAACAGAGACCTGGCCAGCCCTCCCTGGTGGGCACAGGGGATGTGGCCACCCCGTACATCCCACACATCTCCAGCGCTGCGGGGGCCATACTCACAGCCGAGTGCGAGTACGACATGTCTCCCCAGAGCACGAGCCCAGCCGCTCCCAGCGCTGCGCTCTCCCCGATGGTGTGCACCAGGTCAGCCTGCCAAGAACAGAGATGTGACCCATCTGGGGGACACAGCCCCTGTCCCTGTGCCAGCCCACATCGCACCCACGGCCAGCTCCGGCCCCACAGTGCTTACCAGCGGCAGGAACCGTGAGGAGCGGCGGAAGGAGAGGCGGGAGTAGGCGATCACGGGCAGGAGGCCGCGGGCCCCAAAGGCGGCCACGCGCAGGGCCTCGCGCAGCCGGTGGTGCACGTAGCGGTGGCGCAGGGCGGGCGGCAGCGCCAGCGGCAGGTAGATGCTGGGGTAGAGGGCAGACGAGGCGGCCCAGAGCCAGCCCAGATGGTTGTTACGCTGCACCTCCGCCGGCTGGCACTGCCCGGTGTAGTTTGCCTCCTTGGCCCAGTTGCTGTTGAGGCAGTCGGGAAAGCGGTAGAAACCCCAGAGCCCCCCAGGGCGCAGGGCTCGGCCCACCAGAAGTGTCTCCTCCATTAGAGCCTGTGCCGCCTGCTCGAACTCCAGCTGGGCCAGTCGGAGCTGCTGCCGTGCCGGCAGGACGCCGTACTGGTCCCGCACCCACTGCTCCGAGGCTGTCCGGTACATCTTTTTGGCTCCCCAGTTTTGGGCCCACAGGGGCCTCCACTCCTCCCAGTCCACCACGGCCAAGCCATGGAAAGCAGGTCGCAGGAGGAGGTGGATGTCCTCGGCCACCCTGTTGATGTGGGCGTTGAGGGAGACACGCTGGGGGAGGCCCCCATTATGGGGGACACCGTGCTGCGACAGGTAGGGGTACAGCCCAAACTTGTTCTTGTAGAAGATGGTGATGTTCTGGCCAGCAAAGTGGCCACCCTGGTTCTCCACAATGCCGTAGTCGCTGAGGGGCAGCCCTATGCCAAAGCGGTGCTGGCAGCGCCCGGTGGGGACGTTCCACACCACGGCAAAGGGCTGGCCGCCTGCCAGGGGCGCGGGTGCCGGGCTCTCCTCACTGGCTGTGCCCAGCGCCAGGCAGGCCCACAGTGCCAGCACCAGCACCAGCACCATCCCGCCTCACCAGCTGCTTGTGGGGCCGGCACCCTGCGAGGAAAGGAGAGCCATGGGTGTGAGGCTGTGGGATGCAGTGGGCATTCCAGCAATGCAGGCACTGCCCCCCAGCACATGGTGGACTAGGATTGGCCACAGGGGCCGGGCTGTCCTGCAAGCACATGCTGCCCACCCCAAAACCTGACAGGACCTGGTACACTTGGGGGTTTGAGACCCCTCCTGCCTCAGCACTGCCAGTGTTACCTCTGCCTGCTGCTCTCTGGTGCTGAGATCCTGCTTGCACCACCACAGCCATGGCACAGCTCTGGAGTGGCACTGCAAGCCACTGATCCTAGTGCCTCAATTTCCTTGCTCATTCCCCATCCTGCCTGTAGTGGAGGCACCAAGACTCCCTGGTCTCAATTTCAGCACAGTGCTGAGCCAGGCTGGGTGACCAGCTGAAGGACTGAGTCCCCCCAAAAGGCATGGTGGGGCCAAAGGGGCAGCTCTGTCCCTCGGAGCCCAGGCAGGGCCAGAGGGGTCTGGTGCCCCTGCCCGGTACTGGCCAGCTGCCCAGAACGAGGGGATTAGGCGGGGAATGGGCCCAGGGCCGCGTGACACAGCAAGGACAGCGCTAATCCCTCGCTGCAAGGCCGGACGCTCTCTCTGACCTTCCCGCTCCATGCCTCTGGCCCTCATGACACCGGCTGCCTCAGGGGGGTTTGGCCACCTGCCCCCCTCGCTGTGCAGTGCAGGGGATCCGATTCTGCAGCCCCACCACCATGCCCTACTCCCACAGTGCCCCCCCAGCCATCCTGTGCCTCAGTTTCCCCAGACTGCTCAGTGAGCACAGCTGTGGCCACGCTGGACGCCGCCACTTTCTGTCAGGCCCAGCTGCCCCACAGCAAATCCTGAGCAGAGACAGCTGGTGGGACTGGGCAGCGCTCCTGGGCACCAGTGCCAACCCCACAGCCTGGGGTGGGCCTGGCTCCCCACCATGCTGGTGCTCCCAGAGCCCCGGTCAGGCGAGCTGGGGGCCAGGCAGGAGCAGAGGCAATGTGCCCAGGCAGGGCATGGTACAGGAACTCTGCCCATTCCCTTCCAGGGTGAGCCATGGAGGCTGGGGGAGCTGGTGCCAGCCCTGAAGAATGGCAGGCAGTCAGGCAGCGCTGCGGCGGGCAGCTCCCACCCGCACTGCTTTTAATCACTGGCTCGGGCCCCAGCCCCTCAGATGTCCTTCTTCATCCAGAAGATGGGGAGCCCCTTGGCATCGCGGTGCGGGGACTCCAGGAGGCTCTGCTCGCTGCTCTCAGCCAGGACACCCCTCGCCCAGATGACAGTCGGTGGGGGAGGTGGTGGGGGGACAGTGAGGGGCGGCAGGGGAGGCGGGGGGGCAGCGGGTACCCACGGCCTGGTGGTGGTGGCACTGGCAGCCCCAGAAGGGGCGGAGAAGAGCCGCAGCACCTCAGAGGATATAGCCGGGCTGAGAAAGGCCACGCTCTGCACCGGCTCGCCCAGGACAAAGCCCAGGTGGGCATAGAAGTGCTGCTTGTCGTGGGTGGTGAGGTGCAGGCAGCGAAAGCCCCGGGCCCGGGCCCACTGCTCAGTGGCCTCCATCAGCCGGCGCCCATAGCCCTGGCCCCGCAGCGCCCGGGCCACCACCACGCTCTCCACGAAGAGGTCACGGGGACGGCCGGCCACGCGGGAGAGTCGCACGTGGCCCACGAGCTCGCAGGGCCCCTCCCGGGCGGCGGGGGTCTCGCTGGGGCCCCGGCCCCGCAGCAGCAGCAGGCAGGTGGGAAAGGCGTCCGAGGAGCGCTGCAGCGTGTGGAGCCGCGACGCCCGGCTCTTCCCCCACTCCTCGCCCAGCAGCTTGGCACAGGCTTCCAGCAGCTCCGGCCTCTGGTGCAAGGGGACCAAGCTGAGCTCCTCGGACACAGAACCCATTCTTCTCCCTGACGGGAAACCAAGCAGGTCACAGCTTAGAGGCAGCAAGGCACAGACCATGCGTGAGTTCCCCGCTGCCCGCCACTGGCCCCAGTGGCACAGCCAGATGAGTTCAGGGAGGTTTGGTAGGTCCAAGGTCAAACGAGATTCATGGCAGGGAAGTGACACATGGTGCCAGCTCCAGGAACTCATGCCATGAGACCTGCAGAAAGGTCTAGCACTGCCAAATCAGCTGATGGGCAGGAGGCACAGTGCTTCCTCGCCAGCCTCGGCCACCTTGGCACCCATCAGACCTGCTAGCTCATCACATATGTCCTCAGAGTTGGGGTTCTGAGCAGCCCAAACAGCCTCTGAGGGGTCAGAAAACCCCTATCCTACAGCATGCTGTGGGGTCCCCTCTCTCAGCCTGCCAGTTCTCTTTGCAAAGAAGCCACAGGCAGAAGACAGGAGGAACCACCACGCCAGTTGATTAACTAGGATTGAGCAAACTGTCCCACTTCCCCTCTGGGGGTTGGGGAGGGCCTGACTCTGCCCTCCCACACCCTAGGTGCCCCCAGGAGACATGGTGGGGACACCCCCCTAGCTCCAAGACTCCTGACCCCCAGTGCAGCCTGCACTGTCCCCTTCAGAGGCCAGACCCCACCAGCACTCCTGAGCAGGTGATGGTTTCCTTCCACCTGCCCAGCAAAGCCACGCCAGGACTCCAACAGCATCTGCCTGCCACCCACCTGCCCGCACTCACCCTGCCTTCACCCACCCTCCCTGTCTGCACTCACCCTGCTCAGTCACTCTGCTCACACCCACCCTGCTCACACCTGTACCCTGCTCACACCCACCCTGCTCACACCTGTACCCTGCTCACACCCCCCCGCTCACACTCACCCTGCTCACACCTGTACCCTGCTCACACCTGTACCCTGCTCACACCCCCCCGCTCACACTCACCCTGCCCGCCGCTGCTGGCTCCTTTGCCCCGGGTGCCAGCGCAGCAGGAAGCAGCCCAGGCTCATGACCAACCACAGCGCCTGGTTCTGCTTCCCTGGTGTGAATGACACGTCTGTCCAGGGCCCCACAGAGCACCCCCCACTTCCCACGCTGCACTCCCACACGGGCACTCAGCCTGCCTGCACCCCGATTGCCCCAAACCACACAGCACTCACACACAGACACTGAAATGGCATCACCCAGCTGATTGCAGCTCCCGCCTCACGGCTGCACCTCCTGAACACAGATCCCCACTCCACTGACCCTCACCGACCACACTAACCCAACACTGACCCCACTGCCCACCCATCACTGACCACACTGCTGACCCACTGCTCACCCATCACTGACCCATCTCTGACCCCACTGCTCATCCATTACTGATCCCACCGCTCGCCCATCACAGACCCCATCACAGACCCCACCACTGACCCCATCTCTGACCCCACTGCTCAGCCATCGCTGACCCTCTCACTGACCCATCGCTGACCCCATTGCTGACCCCACCACTGACCTCACCACTGACCCATCTCGGACCCCAGTGCTCACCTATCACTGACCCTCTCACTGACCCCATCACTGACCCATCATTGACCCCATTGCTGACCCTACCACTGACCCCATCACTGACCCATCTCTGACCTCACTGCTCACCCATCACTGACCCTCTCACTGACCCATCATTGACCCTATCGCTGACCCCACCACTCACCCACCACTGACCCCATCGCTGACCCTCTCACTCGCCCGTCACTGACCCCCCCACCAACCCGTCATTGACCCTGTCAGTGACCCCAGCATTGACCCACCACTGACCCATCACCGGGCACCACCGAGCCCCTCTCCCGGCCCTTCTCCCCGCTCTCTCCCCCGCCCCAGCCCGGTCCCGCCCGTACCGTGCTTCGGCCCCGCCGCCGCCGTCACTTCCTCGGCCCGGCCCGGCCCGCCCGCGCCCTCTGGCGGCCGGAGGGCGCACGGCCCGCGCGACTCGGGCTGATCCCAGATCCCGGCACGGCTCGGGCTGATCCCAAATCCCCGCACGACTCCGGGCTGATCCCAGATCCCGCACGGACACACCCGCCCTGGCCTGTCCGGCCTCCGCAGGGTCTCCGCTCCCCGGGACAGCAAGCCCCGCCGGGCAGAGGCGCGGTGCTGCTCCCCTCTGGGGCTGGGCTGCCCCAGGCTGTTTTGGGGTGTCCATCTTCACGGCCTCCCCTCCTCCCCAAGGAGGGGTACACTGTGCGGGAGCTCTCCATCCGAGTCCTTCAAGTCGCCATGGGGCTTACCAAGAAGATGACGAAGCAGGAGGTGCAGGACAGCTCCTTCACTTACATGAGCAGACACAGACGAGGCCTGCGGGATTCCCAACCTGGCACAAGGCGGGATTCCCAACCTGGCCGGCCTTTTGGACACTGCAGTTTGGACCCTTCAGACGTGTCCCGTGAGTTCTGGCTTGCTCAGCTCCCAGGCAGAGCTCCCCTCCATGGCCACAGCTGCCCTTCTGCTCCTGCTGCCCGGATGGATGGGGAGGTGGGTTCCTTGTCCACACAGCTCCTTCCACTCTGCCCCTGGCATGGTTCCTGCAGCCTCAGAGCCTGAGCAGCAGCTCCACAGCACCCTCAGGCCACCAAGAGCAAAACTTGGTAGCCCCGACAGGCTTCCAGCCAGAGAGGGTGGCTCCTCTGGTCATGCCCTGGGGTGCGGAGCCTGCGGGCAGATCCCTCCCCAGCTGGGGATCCGCTTGCACGGCTGGGACAGGCTCTGCCCAGGCCTGCGGCCCTGCACAGACCAGTGCAGGGCATTCCCACCGTCCTTCCCTGACTCCCCGTGCCACAGGGAAAAAGAGATTGATTGCGCATAATAAAATTTCTGCACAAAAGCGGTTTTTAGCTCTTTTAGAGCATCACCCGTCCCAGACAGACGGACACCACGGCAGCGTGGCCAAGGATGGGTCCCGGGAGCTGCACACAGGACGTGGGAGGGGAGCAGAGGCCATGCCCGACACTGGAGGCTGGCTGGGGGTCCCTGAGGGGCAGAACGAGTTGATCACGGTTCGGGAAGTGCCAGCCCGCTGTCACTGTCACCGCGGGGTCTCGGGCTGCAGCACGGGGCCCCAAGGGACACGGGGGGCAGAGGAGGCAGCGCCGGGGCTCTCACAACCGGTCCCGGGCGGCGGGTCCCCGGTGCGAGTGGGCGCTCCCGGGTACGAGTGCCCGGTCCCCGGTGCGAGTGCCCGCTCCCGGTGCGAGTGGCCGGTCCCCGGTGTGAGTGCCCGGTCCCCGGTGCGAGTGCCCGCTCCCGGGTACGAGTGGCCGGTCCCCGGTGCGAGTGCCCGGTCCCGGCCGAAGGGTGACGGGCACCGGGACCGGAGGGGCGGGGCCAGATGCAGGGGGCGTGACCAAAGCGTGGAGGAGGGGCTGCGGGGCGGGGCGGGCACGTGACGTCACACCGGAGGGACGGCGCGGCCGGCGGGCGGGGCGGGGCAGGGCGCGCTTCCGTCACGGGAGGCGGCGCGGCGGGGCCAATAGGAGGCGGGATCCCGCCGGCCGCAGCCAAGCCGGGCCGGGGGGCACAGGGAGGGGCGAGGAAGGGCTGCCTCGCCGGGGTCGCCGCCGTGGCGCTTTTGCTGCCCCCCTCCCCGTTCCCGTCTCGTCGATCGCCCCGTTTTGTCCCGCAGGCACCGGGCGGCGATGGGAGACCGCGGGCTCGGGCCGGTCGGCCCGGCGATGAGGAGGTGTCCAGCGACTCCGAGACAGAGAGGTGAGGGCTGCGCCTGGGGAGCGCCGCTACCGGCGCGGATACTGAGAGATGGCAGACCGGGGGATGCCGGTACCGGAGAGATGGCAGACCGGGGGATGGCTGCACCGGAGGGCGTGTGGACCGGGGGATCCTGTACCGGAGAGATGCCTGTACCGGGGGCGGTGTCGGACCGGGGGATGCCCGGACTGGGGGATCCTGTACCGGAGGGGATGCCGGACCGGGGGATCCTGTACGGGGGGATGCCGGTACCAGGGAGATGCCGGACGGGGGGATGCCGGTACCGGAGAGATGCCATACCGGGAGATCCTGTACCGGAGGGGTGTCGGACCTGGGGATGGCTGTACCGGAGAGATGTCGGACCGGGGCATCCTGTTCCGGAGGGGCTGTCGGACCGGGGGATGCCCGAACTGGGGGGATCCTGTACCGGAGGGGATGTCGGACCGGGGGATTCTGTACCGGAGAGATGCCGGTACCGGAGGGCGTGCCGGTGCCTGTGGGTGCCGGTACCGATGCTCACGCACGCGTGTCCCGCAGCCCGTTGCTGGGGCGGCGGCGGCGAGAGGCAGCGGAGGAGGAGGTGGAGGAGACGCCGCAGGAGAAGAAGCTGCGCCTGGCCAAGCAGTACCTGGAGGAGCTCCGGCAGCTCGGTAAGTGCCGCCCGCCGCCGGTGCCCCGCGGCGCAGCCCCGGGCGCTGAGCCCGACCCTGACGCTCTGTCCCGCAGAGGAGGAGCGGGCGGAGGAGGAGGAGGAGCTGGAGCCGGCGGATCTCATCGGCGACCGGCTGAAGGAGGACGTGGTGAGCGCGGCCCCTCGGGCTCCTCGGCGGCGGCAGGCTCGGTCCCCTTCCCGCGGGACCGGGACCGGGGCCGCCTGTGCTGAACGTGCCCCTTCTTCCGCAGCTGGAGCAGAGAGGCCGGCTGCAGCGCCTGGTGGCCAAAGATGTGAGTGCCCGCTGCTGGGGGTGCCAGTGCCAGCGTAGGGGACGCTAAGGCATGGCCAGCACGCTACAGCCTTCGTCCCTGGAGGAGTTGGGGGGCTGTGCTGGGGTATTCCTGTGCTGGGGGAGGGTCCTGGGCAGCCCAGCTCACATCCTGCTCTTCCTGCAGGTACAGCCTCCAGATCCAGCCAGGATCCGTGTGCTGCGGGGACACCAGCTACCCATTACCTGCCTTGTCATCTCTCCTGACGACAGATTCATTTTTTCTGCTTCCAAGGACGGCTCCCTCATCAAATGCAAGTGTTCACCTGGGGCTGTGACTGGCTGCTCCCAAGCCCAACCCCTCCAAGGACCCAGGTGTCCTCTGAGATGGCTTGGCCCCTGGCTGTTCTCGGATTGTGCATAATTCCAGGCTCTGTGGAAAGCTCATTGACGCTTTTGGGAGTGGTGGGAGGCTCCCAGAGGGTGATTGTGATGCCTTTCCTGCAGGGGAGGTGGACAGTGGGAAGAGGCTGTGCGTGGTGCCCGGGGGCAAGAAGGGCACGGAGGAGCGGCACATGGGGCACGCGTCCCAAGTCCTTTGCATGGCCATTTCGTCGGATGGCAAGTACCTGGTAAGGAGACAGGGGTGGAAAGAGGGCGTGGGGAGTGTTCTCCCTGGGTCCTGGGGGTACAGTCCCATGCCCAAATGTGCCTTGCTGGGTTAAAGCAGCCCCTGTCCCCCGCCTGGGTCAAGAACGGCTCCCTGGGACAGCCAAAACCCATGGAGTGGGAGTGGAGGCAGGGGTGGGCTGTGGGTGTCCAGGGTGCAGGTCTCAGGTGTCCCCTGCTGTCTGCCAGGCTACAGGAGACAGGAACAAGCTGATCATGATCTGGGATGCAGCCACCTGCAAGCGCCTGCACATCTTCACGGGGCACCGCGACGCCGTCTCGGTGAGCTGGGGCGTTGGGCACAGCGCTGCGGGGCCAGGCAGCTGTGTCCTGCTCGGCGTCCCTCACTGCTGTGCCCTGCCTGTCCATCTGTCCCAGGGCCTGGCCTTCCGAAAGGGCACACACCAGCTGTACAGCGCTTCCCACGACCGCTGCGTCAAGGTCTGGGACGTGGCTGAGAACGCCTACGTGGAGACCCTGTAAGAGCTGGGCAAATCCCACTGACCCTTCCGAGGGGGGCCCAGCAGCCCTGAGGTGGTGAGGGGGCAGAGGGCCCTGCTTGCCACAGCTGTTTGTCATCTCCTGCTGCAGGTTTGGACACCAGGACATCATCACGGGGCTGGACAGCCTGAGCCGGGAGTGCTGTGTGACAGCGGGGGGACGGGATGGCACCGTGCGGCTCTGGAAGATCCCTGAGGAATCACAGCTCGTGTTCTCCGGGCACCAGTACGTCTGGGGTGGAAGAGGGGGCTGCGGGCAGGTGTGTCCAGCTGGGGCAGTGCCTTGTGGGTGCCAGGAGCACCCTGGGGCTGCTGATGCCCTGCAGGATCCCAAAGCACACTTGTAACTGCTGGCACTTCGCAGGGGCTCCATCGACTGCATCCAGCTCATCAACGAGGAGCACATGGTGTCTGGTGCTGACGATGGGTGAGCACGGGGCAGGACGATGCCTGGGGGTGGGCGGGGTGCCCCCTGAGCCCCCTGACCCCTCCCATGCCCCGCAGGTCCTTAGCCCTGTGGGGGCTGACGAAGAAGAAGCCGCTGGCGCTGGCTCGGCAGGCGCACGGTGAGCAGGACGCCCAGGGCCTGCAGCAGCCCTTCTGGATCTCAGCCGTGGCTGCCCTGCGCAACAGCGACCTCCTGGCCACAGGTGGGTGGGGTGGCAGCCCGTGGGGGATGTGTCCTGCTCCGTCCCTGGGCTGGGGTGCGTGACAGGCCCCTCTCTGTGCCCCAGGGTCCCACAGCGGCAGTGTGAAGCTCTGGAAGTGCGGTGAAGGATTTCGGAAGCTGGAGCACCTCTTGGACATCCCCTTGGTATGGGCAGGGTGGGAGTTCTGGAGGTGGGCTGGAGGGTCTCTCAGCAGGGACTGCCCTTGGGCAGCAGGAGAAGCTGTGGGAGCCCTCACCCTGTCCCTTTACCCTCCAGGTGGGTTTTGTCAACAGCCTCAAGTTCTCAGCAGCTGGTGACTTCCTGGTGGCTGGCATCGGGCAGGAGCACCGGTACTGTCCCCCCTCCCTGGTGTAGCTGCCTGGGGGTGCAGCTTCCCTCCCCTCTGGGTCTTGTTGGAGGGTGACTCCCCCATCTCTCTCACCCGCAGGCTGGGACGGTGGTGGAGAATCAAAGAAGCCAAAAACAGCATCTGTATCATCCCCCTGAAGCAGAAGACCACAGCCTCTAGCCCTGAAGAGGGCTCCCCTGGCAGCTCCTAGCCCTCTGTCCCTGGAGCCACTGGAGCAGGTCCTTCTGTCCCTGGAGCAGTGCCCCACACCCTTGGTGCAGCCACCACCATGCTCAGCAGGATGTGAGTGGGGGTTGTTGTCACACGGCCCCTGATTCTGCTGCCCCCCATATCTTGATGTGGCTCTGCCCTCTGCGAGGGTCTGTTCCCTTTTCTCAGGTTTGGCTGTACCTGAGCTCTGGAACAATCCATTTTGTAAAAAAAAAACAACACCAAAACCACTTTATTTACATAAATTACAAAAAAAAAAATCACACTTTTGTTCACAGAAAAAATCTACTCTTAAAAACTCGGTTGGGCTCAAATACCTGGGTCCTGTTGCTTGCCCTGAGCCTCCAATGCCCCCCCGGGCTCTGCAGGGGCTGGGGTCAGCAGGAATTTGTCTGCCCCCACTCCTGCCCTGTCTCCCAGTCAGGGATGAGCAGCGCCACACCCAGTGAGGGAAGCGATGGGGGGAGGCTTAGGCCCAGCCCAGCCACGCTCCGTGGCTCTCCTGAGGCCAAAACCAGGAGGGAAACGTGGAAATGCAAAGCACTGGGGAAAGGGTGATGTGGTCCAAGGCTTGGCACAGGGGGTGATGGGAAAGGCATGGAACTGGGAAGCGGGTGGCTTTGGGGCGAGGGCAGCGTGTGGCACCACAGCAAGGGCGGTGCAGCGTGGATTGGTGCAAGCCGAAAGCAGGAGTGGAGATGTGGGGACAAGGGGCAGGGGATGTGCCCCCAGGTGGGTCTGCACAGGGCTCAGAGCAAGGACAAGGACAGGGTATTTGTGCCACAGCTCAGTGCGAGGTCCGTGCGATGCGCACCACGGCTCAGTGCAGGGCTGGGGGACATTCACCATGGCTCAGTGCAGGGCGTGTGGGGCACGATGGCTCAGTGCAGGTGACCAGGGGGACGTGCCGTGGCTCAGCTCAGGGAGGGGGATGCTCACCACGGCTCAGTGCAGGGTGTGGGGGACAGGGTACATGTAACGTGGCTCAGTGCAAGGGAAGGGTGACACGTACCATGACCCGACGTGTGGGATGTAGCTCGTGCTGGGGCAGGGACTGAGCCTCCCGGCTGCGCCTGGCCCCTCAGCGGGCCGTGCTGCGGGCACTGCTCTCCCTGGGGGAGCAGCGGGGGTGCTGTGTGGCAGCACCACGGCCTGGCCCCCCGTCCTTCACAAGGATGACGTTGTGGAATCCACCACCTCACGGCCGTTGCACACCGTGGGCACGTATGGCGAGGCTGAGCCTGGACAGGAGGGCAGCAGTCAGGGCTGGGGTGGGGGCTGGCAGCAGCCCTGCCCAGCATCCCATGGCAGTGGTGCCCAGCGAGTTGGGGTGGAGGGTGCCCAGGATGGCCATGTCCCCCCGTGTGCCCAGGGTGGTCATATTCCCTGGAGCTAAAGGGGAGAGTGCCTCGGGTAGTGACAGGCACCTGGGGGCAGCTGAATCCCCTGTGCTGGGGTGGAGAGTGTCCCCTCAGAGCAATGAGGGCCACCAGGAGCTGTACCCCTCTGTCAGCTGTGCTGTGTCCCTTGGGACAGAGGACAGGGAAGAGCCACTGGGGACACATCCACCATTCCCCCCTCATTTCCCACTTGGCCCTACCCCACACCCCGCTTTTCCTCAGGAACCCGTGCTGGGGTGCCCACACATGCCCCCCACCAGGAAAGGGGTGCTGTCCCCCAGCCCAGCGTGCTCACCGTGGGACTGGCTGGAGCTGGCTGCTGCCACGCTGAAGCGAGCGGTGCCCACACGGTGGCTGGCCACGTTCTTCTGCGGCTGGAAGAGGATGATGTGGAGCTTGGGGGTGAAGAGGCAGCCGAGGACCACGGTGCCGCTGAGGCTCACCGAGATGCACATGGTGGTGGTCTGGACCTGGAGACAGGGGTGGGCATCAGGTGCTCCACCCGTCAGCCCTCTGCCCCAAGCAGGGCAGGATGAAGCCCATGCTGTGGCACTGGCCAGCCCCACAGGGCACAGGCTGCACCCTGCAGGGACATTCCACCCCACACCATGTCCCTCAGTCGGGGTGGTCCTGCAGGAGACCCACGGGCAGAGTATGGACACTGCCCTGGTGGGGACAAGTTTCCCCTGCAAAGCAGGTACACCCTGAGCAGCACCCCCAGCCCTGCCAACATGCTGCTTTGTGGCACTGCCCGGGGCCAGAGCCTGCACTCCCCACCCCAGTGCCCACTCTCTCTGGGGGTGCAGGTCCTCTCTGGAAGCCCCTGACTAACTGCCCCCACCAACTCCTCAAGACCCATCAAGAATGTGTTTGGTTGTCCGTGCCAGGATGCATCCCGTGCTACCCAGGTCCTGGCACTGCTCGCCAGCCCAGGGACCAGGCTGGCCCTGGGGCTGGCATTCATGCCCTGGGGTGTGGTGTCTGCCTGAGCCAGGGGCTGTCTCCTGCTTTTGTGTCACCAGGCTGAAGGATGACTATCATTCCTCCATGATAGTCATGGCTATGGGGGATCCCTGGAGGTCTCAGGGCCACTTCCCATCCTCATCCTAGCAAAGGAGGGAAGGGGGCAGATCCTCTCTCCAGGACTCATTGCCCCATCAGCCACAGTCCTTCAGGACCCTTCACCTGGTCCTGAATTACCCCGTGCAAAGGTGACCATGACAAGTGTGTGGATGCAGACCCTTCCCCAGGCCCATACATCTCCTAATCATGGACCCTGCATGGCCCAGATCTCCAGGACCACTTAGATCAAGCCCTGTCAGAGCCCCCTCAGAGCTCCAGCTCTTACACGGTAGTCGCTGGAGGTCACGTAGAAGATGGGCAGGAAGGCCAGCCAGATGATGCAGGTCGTGTACATGGTGAACCCAATGAACTTGGCCTCGTTGAAGTTTTCGGGACATTTCCGTGTCTTGAAGGCGTAGACCGTGCAGAGGACAATCAAGAGGACATTATAGGTGAGCGAAATGAGCATGTTGGAGTCACGGTTGTTGCACTTGAGGGTGACAATGTACCTCTTGTCAGGCTCAGTCTCCTTGCCTGTGCCAGGGGTCTCCACCAGCAGCCAGATGATGACGATGATCAGCTGGCAAGAGATGAGGGCCATGCAGATGACCACCTGTGACGTCGGGCTTATGAAGCGGGGGCGCTGGACCCCCTCCTTCACCCCACTGAAGATCCTGGCGATGCGATTCGTCTTGGTCAAGAGGGCCGAGTAGCAGACGGCGAAGGACGTGCCCAGCCCCAGGCGCCGGAGCGTGCACACCCCGGTGGAGGGCTTTGCGATGAAGATGAAGGTCATGCTGTAGCACATGAGGACCCCAGTCAGCAGAATGTAGCACAGCTCTCGTCCAGAGGCCTTCACGATGGGAGTGTCGTTGTTCTTCACGAAGACTCCGATAACGAAGAGGGTGGAGATAAAGCCCAGGCAGGAGATGGTGACGGGACCAATGGCCCAGACATCTTTCCAGCGGATGTACTCTTGGGGCAGCTCGTAGCAGCCATTTAGGGTCTCGTTGGGCCAGTAGCCAAGACCGCAGTCCATGCAGGTGAACTCATCCAGCAGGTACTCGTAGGGCTGGCAGGGGATGCAGATCCAGCAGCAAATGTCTCCGGGCTGCATGCTCTTGATCTCATTTTTCTTGCAGGGGTCGCTGCACTGGGACACAGGAATGGAGGTCTCAGCCCAGGGGATGAGGCTGGTGTCGAGCACGAGCCCCTCTGCCCAGTAGCCCACTTTCTGGTACCGATAGCGCCCGTCCACGTAGTGGTAGTTGAAAATGTTGTAGCGCCCGATCCCGTCGCCGTAGCGGTCAAAGCGAACGACGCTCTCGGTGTCCGCTGGCCTGAACGGAGCTGCAGGGAGGACAAGAGGAGACAGCCACTGCCTCAGGGCAGGAGAACACTCACTCCAGGCCTCGAGGCAGGGCTCATCCAAAGGGTCATATCCCATCATGGCCACACAAAATGCCCGACCTGTTTCCTGCCTTCACTCCCATCCTTGCTGCCTATGCACATGTTAGGAGCAGGAAAGCAAAGGTGGAGAACTACCCACCTGCCTGAGAGCTTGTGAGCCCCAGCCAGCTCTGCAGGGGCAGAGGGCAGTCACATGGCTCTCAGTGACTCCTGGTAGCCAAGACACCCTCAGCCCAAGTCACAGAGGACATGCTTCTAATTCACCCCAAACTACATGGGTCCCTGATGACCCATGGGTGTCCCTCCAGTTTAATCCCCAAAATGTGAATAAATCATGATGCTTGCAAGGACCCCTGTTCTTGAGGGTCCCTGAGGCTGGGTGGGGCTGGTCCCACCCAGCTGTAGCAGGATGGAGTTGGTGGCCAGCTTCTCCATGTTTCCACTGGGGACAGAAGGCCTGGATTGCCTCCCAAGGATGATGGTGGGCTGGCTATTGGTACCTCAGGACAACCACAGCCCTGGGTGTGGGCAGGCTGAAGAAACTGGAGGGTTTTGGGTTAAATTTGAGCCTCCTTGTTTCCTATCCTCCACCCATCCCTTTCCAGTTTGGCAGCCAAACCCCATCTCCACTTTGGACTCACCATCAAAATTAACATTGAGTATAAAGTCCTTGTAAAACCTCTTGCCATTGACAGGCTTCATGGCATCACAGAGCTTGGTGGAGTTGGGGCACAATGTCCGGTGCATGTTGTGAAGAGAGTGAGCCATGGCATAGACTGCATTGACCACGAACGTGATCTTGGACTCTGGCTCAAACTTGCCTGTCTTGAGGGAGTACCGGCTACAGTCCTGCGTGTGGAAGCTGCACCTGAACTTCTGCTCCCAAAACTCCCGAAACCAGGGATTTCGGCTGTTATTGTAGGGGTGGAGGTTAAGGAAGTAGGAAGCAAACTCCTTGATGGGGTAGGCTGCCAGTTCAATGGTGATGGCTCCCTCCGCCACTGCTTCACTCCCGGCCACCACGCTCTCCAGGGCTCCCCACCCATCACTGGCCACCCACATGAAGGACACATTGACTCTCTGGGCAGCTGCCAGCAGCTCCCGGGCATCTTCACTTCGGGTGAATAGCACGACCACTCTGGCATTGGGCTTCTGCAGCAGAGCCCGGACCACTCCATCGTAGGTCTTCTTGTTCATGGAGCGCCCCACCTTCTCCGAGGTGGCGATGCAGATGTTGCGCATGCGGGCTTCTTGCTCGAAGGCCTCGATCCCCGTCTCCCCGTAGTCTCCCTCTGAGGCCACAGTGGAGACGTAGGTCCAGTTGAAGAAGCGCAGGATCTCTGCCATGGCTTTGGCTTGGTAGAAGTCTGGAGGGACAGTGCGGGCGAAGTAGTCATAGCGGGACTTGTCACTGAGCTTGGCGCTGGTGGAGGCATAGCTGATCTGCGGGATCTGGAAGAGCCTCAGCAGGTTGGCCACCTGCATGGAGGAGGGGAGATGTGAGTGCCTGAAGGGGTGGCCAGCAAGGAACGTTCCTATGGAGGGACCCTGCCCTGTACCCAGTGTTGCACGATGCTCCCAAACACAACCACTGGGCTGAGGAGCAACCCATCCCAACCCAGAGCATCCTGATCTGTGGAGGGGCTGGAGAAGAATGGATGGCACATTCACAGAGTGCCTGACACCTCAGACATGCTCATTTATCTTTCTTTTTTTTCTTTTATTTTCTTTTTCTTTTTTTAATGTTTCAAGCACTCCGCTTCAAAATTCGGGTCTGGGGAGGGCACAAGAGCAGAAAGTCTGCCATAGGTGACGTGCAGGAGATTCTCGATGGCAAGGAGAAAGCCAGGATGCCTGGCAGCCCTACAGCACGGGGCAAAAGGATTCTAGGGGCTGGGAGCCAGGGCAGAGTCCCCCACCAGGCTGGGGGATGCTGCAGAACTGGGTCAGGGGACGGGCGCCTGCGCATCCCACACCAGGGGCTCAGTGGGACTGGCACCTTCCAGCCACTCAGCAGAATCCCTTGTTAGCTTCAAAGGGGAAAAAAGTCCCACTAATGAGGCTGTTAAAACCCAGGCTCTGGGGGCAGCAAGGGGACCTCGGGTGTGCCAGCAGGGCTGCCAAGCCTGCCCACATCTCGCTGCTCCCCAGGCAGGAGACGTGGATTAATTAACGTGGACAAATGATCTTGACGACAAATTCCCCTCATGGCAAGAATGTCTCCGAGCTCAGTGATGCTGCTGCCTGTCCTCACCATGCATGGGAGCTGCCAGCCTGCCATGTCCCCCCAGTGCCCCTTGAGCTCCCCAGCTGGCCCACATTCTGCCCCTGCCTGCCCAGGGTTGGGACATGGGGACATGCTGGGTTCCCAGAAGGTGAAGGGACAAGTGCCCAGGTGGGCTGGGATGCTGCCAGTCCCAGCTTCTTCTACCCCATACCTGGGGGATGCAGGGATCCCAGGGACCAGGACACACAGTCTGGCACATGCTGGGACTCATTAAATCTCAGCAAGCATGTGGCCCACCGGCCACCCCTGTGACTCAGCTGGTCCTGCTGAGTCCTGCATCCTCAGGGGATGCCCTTCTCCCTGCTGAAACCAGCCTCCAGGTCCAGAGATGTGGTTTTGGGGACTGAGATGCACCCACCCAGGGTCCAGCCAGGTGTGAAGCTTGAGGTGCCTGTTCCTGTGGGATCACTGGGGACACAGGGGCACTTGTCCTCTGAGCACACCCTGCCTTAGCCAGGCTGAGCCCCTCAGAGGTGCATGCCCCTTGCAGCACCTCATGGGCTGCCCTTTGTGGGGGAAAGAGGGACAGAGCCCCCTCACACTGGTCTGCTCTCTCTGGCATAGTCCAGGAATGAGCTGGGCTGAGGAGCTGCACTTGCCACCTAGAACCCAGGAGAGGAATAAACACCTGTCCCCTCGTGAGTCTTGGCTCCTAATGGAGTGTTGGGGGACTCATGCAGCCCCCAAGGGGACCCCGGGCACACCCCCCACAGTCACAGAGAGATGGCTCATTCAGGTGCCCGCCTGGCACTCCCTCCCTGCTGGAGAAAGGGGCAGAGCACCACCATGAGGGATGGGCACACTTCCATGTGCCACACTAGCATTGGCATCACTGCACTGCTGCCAATGTTTTATCCCCCTCCCCCACTTCAAACCCCCAGCCCCATCTGAGCCCCTCTGGCCTGGGAGTACCTGGATGGAAACATCACTGTAGGAGCCCCCGATGACGCCGGTGATGGCAGTGGGGACATCGTCGTGGACGGCGTAGGAGCCATCGGGGCAGATGTGCTCAGAGCCATCCACCCTGGTAAGGGAGGCACGGACGAAGTCCAGGGACTGCTCCAGGGCATAGGTGTCCTTGGAACAGGTGTCGAGGATGTGAGCACCCAGCTTCACCCCCGGCAGGATGCTCCCGTCCTTGTTGATCTCGTCCAGGGCGAAGAGCATGGCCTCCAGGCGCTGGATGCCCCGGTGCTCGTTTATCTTGCCACAGTCCTCACTCCCCACTCCTTTCTCATGGACGGGGAAGAGGCCCCCGATCACCAGGTCCCCATCCATGCTGATCTCCTTCTTGCCAGCCATGCCGTGCCCAGCAGCCAGACAGGTGGCCAGGTGCATCAGCCCCAGCCAGGCGGCCAAGGGGACCGCCATGGGGTGTGCTGGTGCTGGCTGGGGGACCCACAGCACCCCGTGTCACCCGCTGCCACCCGTCAAGGTGAGGGCAGGCAGTCCCCAGGCATTGGGTGGGGGGGGGTGGCACGGCGTGGTGTCGGTGGTGTCACCCCAGCAGAGCCCTCGGCACCTGGAAAAGCAAAGGGAAAAGCTGCTGGGTCTGCAGGATGCAAGGCATGACAGGGACAGGGACAGTCAGTGCTGCACGGGAGAGCCAGGCCATGAGCCTGCCTGTGCCCCCCACCCGGGATGCCCTTAGGAAGAAATCCCCTGCAGAAAGGGAAGATGAACATGCAACAGCTCCCACAGTGGCCCAGAACCCCCAGGACACACACAAGTGACACAGATCCCAGGGCACATGGAGGGGCTCAGGGACCAGCCCCTCACAGCGCTCGCAGGGACACGCTGGCATAGGGGGGGCACAGAGCTGGCCCCTCTGGCAGCATCGGGCAGAGCAGCCTGCAGGGGGACAGCTTGACAGACCTAAGATATCATGGAGGGAGAAAGAGCCAGGGATGTCACCTGGCACAGGGAGACCAGGCTGGGCAGAGAGAGCCAAGCCAAGCCCCCGACCCACGCAGCAGCATCAGGGGAGCTGCCAGATCCCACCCTCCAGCCGAGAGCACTGCCAAAAGCAGCCAGCCAGGAGCCCACTGTGCCCACAGCCCCCAGTGCCCACAGTATTTTAACCTCCATCCCACAGCCATGGAGCTGCTGCTGCCACCAGAGCTGTCCGTGGCACCGGGCTGGAGCAGGGGCTCGCCTCTGGCTTCACCCTCACACAGCAACACGCAGGGTTCTGGCAGTCGCGGTGCTTCAGAGTCTGTTCTCTCACCACCGCCCCTTCCTTCCCTGTATACTAAATTCAGAGATTTCAGTAAAAGTAAGAGCCAGGTTTGCTGACTCCCTCTGCAGAAAGCACGGAGGCGCGGGGGAATCAAAGGCTTTTGCAGCAGGCAGGCCTTGTTTTGGCAGAAGATGCAGTCCCCTCCGAGATTGGTTGTCTTTTCCCAAATCACGGGAGAGATTTGTTTCCCATTTGAAGCTGACTGCTGAAATCCCACGGGGCTGGCATTTCAGGGACCATGGGAGAAGGAGACCCCTTGGCAGTCCAGGAGCCTCAGGCTGCTCTGGAAGGGGAAGCTGCTGATGCTGTGACTGGAACACGGCCTCTTCCACAGCCCGGCAGTGCTTGTGGGGGCACAGGGAGTGGGGGGCGATGCCAGAGAGTGCTGCCCCCCTGCAGCTCCCTGCAGCCCCTACTGAGGCAGGAGGAGGGGACCCCGTGATGCCCCCCTGCTGCTCCCAGACAGGTGGTGGCTGTGCTGGAGCAAGCAGCCAGAGCTGGCAGTGATGCCCAGGAGGATGCAGGTAGCAGTGTGGCACAGAGCATAATGGGGTGGGGTGGGGTGACACATGCCGACCTCCTCCTCTTCCTCCGGGCCCCTAAGTGCCTGTTCTCAGGTGCTGTCTGCTGCTGCTGAGTCCCCATCTGTCTCAGGGCATCTCCTACCTGACCCCCGGTGCGAAGGACTTCGGAGATGAGAGAAATAAGATGCCTTATTTCAGGAATAAATGCTGCTAAGGGGCCCGGGTTTCCTGAAGCAGGGAAGAGGCCACAGGCACATGGATCATTGATGGAGCTCGTCAGTGGCAGGCTGAGCCTGGCACAGGGGTCAGGTGGCACAGGGAACCCGTGTTCCTGTGGTCCAGGTCTTTTGGGCAGGTGACAGGACCCACCAGATGAAAGGCACCTTCAGGCCAAGCTCCTCTGAAGGGCAAACCACCACCCACCCGGCAGCGAGCCGCGATGGACAGGGAGCAGGGCTCCCGCCATTCCCGCAGCTGCTCAGCTCGACTGGTTTAGTGCCGGGGGTTTGAGAGCCCGCGGGAACCTCTGGAGAACGCCCGGGGAAGGGAAGCACCGGGCAGGGCAGAGCCAAGTCCAGCCCAGTGCGGCGGGAAGCTCCTGCCAGCCGCGGGCAGCCTCTCCGGCACCCCGAGCGGGGTGGGTGAGAAGGGGCCGTGGCTCCTCCGTGCTCGGAGCGCTGCCCACGCCGTGCCAGGAGCCCTGAGCCCTGCGACATCCCGGGGCTGTGCGACACCTGGGCCGTGTGCGAGAGCGGCCGTGCTGCGGGGGCGCAGGGACAGTGCCACCTCCCGCGGGGGTCCCAGAGGTCCCACCGCCACCGAGCTCTGCCAGGAGCCCCCGGCTCTGCCCTGCACGAGGGCTGCCAGCCCGGTACCCCCCGGGGCCGAGGCTCCCCCGGCGCTCCCGCGGCCGCCCCGCATCCCGTCCCGAGCGCGCCCAGACCCGGCTGTCCCGGCACACCCACAGCCCGCTCCAAGCCGCGGCTCTGCCCGGCCCGGGCAGCGGACCGGAGACCGGGGGAACAGCGGGCACCGGGGTCTGTCCCGCCGGGCCGGGCGGTGACCCCGCGTCCCGGGGGACATCCCCGGCCGGGGCGGCAGCGGCGGGTCCTGCCGGATCACCGGGGGTGCGAGAACCCCCCAGGCTGCTCTCCCGGAGCTCCGCGTCCTGCGCCGGGCAAGGTGAGCGGCGGGAGCAGCCCCGGTGCCCCCCCGACCGCCCGCATCCCCGGCGGATCCCGCGCCCGTGCCCGTGCTCCGCTCTCGTCCCGCAGCTCCGGGAGCCCCGGCACCGCGCACCGGTCTCCGAGCCCCGCCGTGGCGCGGCCCCGACGGCAGCGGGGTACCGCCGGTCTCGGTGCCGCTCCACCGCCGGGGCAGGCGCGCACCGAGGGCACGGCCACGGCAGCGCCGGGCGGGGACCGCAGCCCTTACCTGGGCCCGGCGGACTGTGCCGGAGCCGGTGCCAGTGCCGGTGCCGCGGCTGTCTCGGAGCTGCGGCTGCCACCGCCTCCCGCCGCCGCCTCTGACACTCCGCCAGCCCCAGCAGAGCGGAGCCGCTCCGCCCCCCGCCCGGCCCGGCCCGGCCCGGCCCCCGGCCCGGTGGGCAGCGGCACCCCCGGGGCCGCCCCGACTGCGCCCCGGCACCCGCTGAGCCGGGCAGGCACCGCCGGGCTGGGGCAAAGCCGGGGGCTACGGCCCGGTCCAGGCAGAGCTCGGGCAGGACACGGGCAGAGAAGGCAGAACACAGGCGAGACACGGCCAGGTGCAGGCAGGGGACGGTCGGACTGAGCCGGGGCACCGTCAGGATGCAGGCAGGACACGGGCAGAGAAGGCAGGACACGGGCAGAGCAGGCGGGACCAGCTCTGCACCCTGGCAGGGCACAGCTCCCCTGCTCCCCGAGCCCCCAGCTCATTCCCATACAGTGAGAGGGACCCGGTCCCAGATCAAGCTCCACAGCCACCAGCTGCTGCCCCAGCATTTGTTCCCCCCTTGCCTGGCCTGTCCCCGCTCCCCAAGGCCCTGGAGGAGTTCAGGCACCCGGCCTTACCCACTGCCCACCCACATTCCCCGCGGCCCCAGCACTCACCGGCAGCTCTCACACCCAGCTGGGGAAGGCTCTGGGCCGTACAGAGCCATGGGCAGGGCTGTGTCCCACATCACCAACTGCCCAAACTTCCTAGAGCCATTCGGCTGCCCAGGATCCTGCGGCGTTGCATCCCCAGAGCTCCATCCCTCAGAGACAAGAACGGGACAGGGGATGACACAGGGGACAAGGTGCTTCTGGGCCACTCGCCACCATGTGCCTCAGTTTCCCCTCTGCCAGCTTCTACACTTGCAGGCTGTGGGTTAAAGGCTCTGCAGTGAGTCAGACACTGCTGGACTCCCTTTCTCCCAGCAATCCTGGTTTGGGGAGGGATAACCTGGAATGTTCCCGGCAAGGTCCCCCCTGGAGCCCCACAGCAGCAGGACCCCAGACCCCAGAGGCCTCTCCTGTCAAGACTGCTGGCACAGACAGAGTGGGACACTGGGGAGAGGAGGGTGCCTGGGCTGGGGGACCTCACCAGTGCAGGGTGGACAGAGGTGAGGAGGAGGACTGGAGGTGTGTTGTGCCAAGGGATGTGGCACTGCCATGGTCCCGCTGCCCCCAGCAGAGGGGTCCTGGTTCCAGCCTCACGCACACCTGGCACTGGCTGCATTATCCCAGCTGCTGGTCCAGCGCCCATGGCAGCAGGATGATGGCAAAGCCCCTGGTGCCAGCTTCAGTGGGGTTAGGGGACAGGCACTGTCAGTATCCACTGCCTGGCTCCAATCCCCCAGGAGCCTCAGCCAAGCATAAATATTTCAGGGGGCTTGGCAGTTTTGTAATAACCAGCAACAAAGATAAACACCGGGAAGAGCAATATTTTTCCATGTGGGCTGGAGGAGTTTAATATTTTATCACTCAGAGCACAAAATATTTATGAACAATCTCATGTCAATCACTGGCTGAGGACTAATCGTGACCTTTCCAAGCCAGGGAGGACACATTCCCACCATGGAGAGACAGTCAGACCTGCCCTGGCCCTGCCACCCCCACCCCAGGTCCCAGTTTTGGGCTGCCACGTTTGACCACCAGGAAACAATTCCTGGGCTGCTGGAGGCACCAAGGGCACTCAGCAGGGACTCTGGCACCTGGCATTGCCCTGTGGCACCGTGACCATGATGTCCAGGCTGCCCCCTTGTCCCAAGCTGAGAGACAGGGAACAGGGACCACCTCAGGCAGCCCTCCCTGCCTGCATTCCACAGCAGCAGGACAGACAGATGGGATGTCAGGAAGGCACAGGGCAGGCAGCCTGGTGTCCCCTGCCACAGCAGGAGGCCCAGCAGCAGCTTTATATCTGGCTTTATACTGGTGTTACCCTCCACAGGCTCCCAGGAGGAGTGGGAATGCCACTCCCTCTAGCTCTGCCCAGCTCAGCACGGCAGCTGGGACCCTTCCTTCCCCACTTCCCCTGCAGCTTGCACAGGCTGGGGACAGACTCCGTGCCCGGGCGGGGGAAAGCCTGAGCAGCAGGGATGCAGAGCCCCTGGGCAGCTGTTTGGCTCAGCTGAGGGCCATGGGCAC